TTTAATAAAAACAATTCACATCATTTGATCCAGTTAACAAACCAATAATGATCAGCTTTTAATGTCTGTTTAAAAAAAGATATGAATCAATAGACCTTAGTCTTAACAATAAATGACCTAAAATAGCCTTTTAGTCAATTCAGTTATTTATTACTTAAATGGAATATTTAATGCTGTAACTAAACTGTTCTAAAAATAGATCAGTTATTACCAGTAACTTACATGAAGTTCTTTCAATTTCGATTGTACATAGTTATTATTGACTTCAATTCGTATATTATCTGTATCATTACTACTCGAAGATTGATTAGTTTGTGATTTTATACACCAGAAACGATCGTTCATAAAGTAATCATCTAATTTCTTTCCACTATCTATATATTCAGAGATATTTACTGGAACTAAACAAGACTCATGAATAAACCAATCAATAGATTCATTTAATCCAGTTAAACATGTTCTTATATCATCTGATTGGACAGTTTGGTCATTTACCTCCTTGCCGTTGGTTACTGTTGATGTAGATGAGTGTTCGAAATTAACTGGAACCTCTTTGACTGGAAATACTTGATTGAAAGGTTTGTTATTCTTATTGTTTTGGTCAGTGTTATTCTCATTAGATCTAGTTTAAGGAAAGAATATTTGAATAGTTAATAAACCGAAAATATTAACGTATGTCATGATAAGAAAACAGTTAAAATAAAATCCTTGTTCTTAACAACCCCAATCACGATTTTACCTTTAAACATGTACGAAAACGTATAATATTAATCATTATAGTTTGCAAAATACTCTGGATGATAAAGAAGAATTTTCATTATACTCCAACTTCTTCACAAACTCCATCAAAGCATAATTAAAGACAGGACTAATATGCCCTACATATCAAAAGTTAGACATTAGGATCTTTAGATACTGGATCACTGGTCTAGAAGTCAAGCATTCGCGTTAGGGACCAAACGTCCGGGGTTCGACTGCCGCATTTTTAGTGATGGCCTATGAATACAACTACCAAAATTGCTATGTTAAAAGAATTGTGCAACTCTGTTTTGAGGTAACGTACCATTCTGTAATACTTTCGATACAAAACTATTACGGTACCGACATAAATTACGTAACCTGATATTGCATGAAAACCCTAATAGGCATATTTAGTTAATATTTTAATTTAAAAAAAAGCCTATAAATACTATTTCTGAATTCTTTAATTATTGACAATAGATATGCCGTTTAAAATTACAGAATTGTAAATAGCTGTTACCTCCATTTCATGACTATTTATAAATATTTAATAGTTGAATTCGATTTTAACAAGACTGACATGGGAAACATGGAAGTAGTGGACGGCCGTTTCGTCCCAGTATTGTACTCCTCAGCAGTGTTCATTCACGATCCCACACGCGGGACTCGAATCCAGGAACTTCCGTCTTGCGCGCGAACACTTAACATTTAGACCACTAAACCGGCTTCTAACAGTGTTAACGTCTGACTTCGACCAATGCACGACTTTGCGCGACCACCCACGATTGTCATCAGTGAGTAACTACCTCACAACCGACACTGTTGAACTCCATTGGTCATAGCATCTTACTCGAACTTCAGGAAATACATCTTGAAGCCAGTTATTAGTGACTTCATTTACATTTTTTGGATGATATGTTATCAATTAAGCTATGTTTTAATTAAAATTTCAATAAACTTCTTATACGAAATACCTTTCCCTCAGAATAACCACAGTCAACTTTAGGATTCAGTATTTCATATTGATACTTTAAACATGTTTCTCTTATTTTTGTTGTTGTTTAAACTCACCCCAATAATCACATATTTATATGTAGGTTGTTTTCTAGGTAGTCGATACCAAGTGGGATTTCGCAACACATATTTGATTTCACATGATTGTTAGGTTGACTGTTATAAATTCGTGATGATTTATTATAAAGTGGTACAGTACTGTAAGAGCAATTTTACTGGTGACCACGATTTAAGCTTGATTTGGTACTTCATTGTTACACGTCAACCATAAAGAGAAACCGTTTCTGTTATTTAACCATTTAACAGTCAGAGATTAACTTTCTCATGTCATAAGTAACGTCCGTATTATTCAACAATTAACACTGAAAGTTATATTTTATGCGCTTAAGACATAAACCAATCAAACCATTAGTAGACGTTATCAAGTTAAATGGTCAAACTCACAGTGATTTGTTAGTGATTTGTTGTGATGGATTTAATTCACTGACTAATTTCTCTGGATAAATTGTTGTATTTGAGGTTTTCTTATCAGCCATAGGTTGTGTTACGTAGTTCAATGTTCCATATTTACGACACAAACTAAGTAATTCATTTTCTAATCTATTCAATTCATATCTTACGAATTCATGATCATGTTCTATTGACTGAATAGTATGTCCACGATAAAGACTATGCCGACGAGGTGGAACTGTTGGTGGTTTATCATTATTGTAAATATCTTCTGTTGTTAGTTCATTTTCATCATTGGAACTCTTTGAACTTGTTGCTATTGAGTCTAATTCTCCCGTAAATGTTGAACTTGTTATTATTGAAGATATCCCAGTACTAGACGGTAATGAATATTGTTTAACAGGTGTTTTGACACGTGTTGAATTCATACTAATTAACTTGGAACTATGTTGTCGAAGTGAGGCGAATTCTATACATGTGTCTTTAATTTTATTCTAAATTAAATGAAAGAACAAGTTAATTATTTTCTAAAGAGATCGTTTAAGATGACAAAGACTATTATATTATACAACTGAATATTGTTTTCTACTGTAAAATATAATCCATAGTAAATTGAACAAAAATGCATGCATTTGAACAAATATATATATCAACAGATAAGTAGGTCGATATACACATTTAATATATACGTACATACAGTAAAACACAACACTATAACCATATTGAACAAAAAATAATATGAGAATATAACATGGGTTATTACAACAGATTTATTGAACATTTATTTATATGAGTTCTGAATAAATCAAGTATTTTTAATAGAAAAGTTATAGAATGTTTTGTATATCATAATTTCTAGCAATCCATTTTAAATAATATCTTTAATTTAACTTGCTAATCAACAAGTTAACCCTAACACTTATTGAATTATTCAAAAACGTTGTTGCATATTATGACAAAATGATGATTTAAAACAATTGGGTTTTATTTGCATATGTCATCATATAATGATAGAGTTAAAACTTGGAGAACTAATACAGCCATCATCAAGAAGGTACAAGTATTTATAAATAATTGTCTACGCGAGATACTCAACATTCATTGGCCGGATACCATAAATAACAGCCTTCTATGGGAGAGAACAAACCAGATTCTAGCTTAGGAGGAAATCAGGAAAAGCTAATGGACATAGATAGGATATATATTATGCAATTCATCAAAGTGCATCATGGGGCAATCCCTAATTTGCAATCCTGAAGGAGAGCGGAAAAGAGGAAGGCCAAAGAACACATTACGTTGGGAAATAGAAGCAGAATTGAAAAGGATGAGTAACAACTGGAAAGAGTTCAAAAGGAATGCTCAGGACGGCGTTGGATGGAAAATGCTGGTGAGCGGCCTATGCTCCTTCACGAGGAGTAACAGGCGTTAGTAAGTAATGATAGTTCACACGCCTAAGATTTCATAGGAAGTCATAATTAGTTAAATCAATTAATACATGAATGAAACGATTAGATAGTAATAACATGGAACAATAGTCATAATATTTAGTAAACTGGGTGAATGACTGGATTTTAATTAGTTTCGCACCTATAGTCGGACCTCAAGATTTTATTCTTTATTCTTTATGTAATAATGCAAATACACTGCCAAAGAGTTTTTAATAATTCAGAACTACTCAGTTTTTTTTAATAACTCGTTATTGAAAAGGATCTTAAAATTAACAAGATTTCAATTGAACACTATTGCAGTTGAATAACAGAAACTTCTTTATACATTGCACTTCTATTTTAAGTAAAAAAAATTTCTGAAGTATCACGAAAGTTAGTGACATTAAGTTTTAGATTGTCATCTACATGTTTTCTTGAGTTATTAATATCTGATAGAGAATGAACCTTATATTAATTCATAGAACAAGTACGAGTATTAATTGTGACTTTATTGTCCAATAGAATGAGTTTGAAGAGAATACTAACGCTTATTGAAGAATAAACAAATTCATTTATCAATACATACACTGAACAATATCTTTGCTACTTTTCTTATTGTTTATCTCTACTAAATGTTAACAACAAACTATGAAATAATTTATCGATCCACTAATTAAAAATCTTTTATACTAACAGAATAAACAATTACTTTTCTAGTAAATTAAAAGGCAGATATTCATATTCATAAATGAATATCATGAAATACATTTTCTCAAAATAGACTAATATTAAATATATTAACTAAATTTTAAGATAACTACATCCAGTAATACGAGATATAAAACTCTAAACAATTTTTTCTATAGATTTTGAGTTTTATTGTGTTTAGTTTATAGTAAATATAAAAAAATGTGTTTTTCTTTCCATTGCCTGTATGCCTTACCTAAAGATTCAGTGCTATAACAACAATGACAACATAGATGACACTAATAAAAAGATTAACACAACAGATTAGAACAACATATGTTAAAATACTGACATTCCAATGTCTCACTGTTTTTTTTTATTACTCCTTTGAATGAAGAACCGGAGAAATGATCAGATTATAAATATCGTCTAACAATAGGAAGCGTTTATGTTATTAGATTAAGAAACCATAATTATAAAAATGTATAGTTTGAACAGAATGTTCTCTAATTATTACGAAGAGTTGATAATGACTTTCGGCTTTCAGAGTTCCATAAACTTCTAGTTTTTTGAATCCCTAATCTAAAGGTAGTGATGTATTTGTTGGTCAGTTGAAAAGCTATTCACACTGACTTTGTAAATAAGGGACAAGTTTATGATGGGTCAATATATAGTTTCTAAATTAAGGACCGTGACATAAAGATTCAGTTTGTATGGTTTCAAGTAATCGAAGGATTGAATTTATGTTTAAAAACTTATCTAGGGAATAATCGGTGTCTGGTTTCACGGGAACTCAATATCAGTCACAAGTAAGGAATAAAATCACTAATTGTGATCCTTGGTGACCCTGGATTAAGTGTTTGGCAAAGCAGATCCACTATTTTGACAGTAATAGTTTCGGACTTATGTTTCTGAAAAGGAAAAAGTACTATAACCTTACAAACAATACTTGTCATTTAAGGTGTAGTACAAATGTTTGTAGCTTTATAACAGTAAACGGCTCACTGAATTGAACTAATAAATTCTCCGTATCATTTAAAACAGTCGGAAAGTGGAAAATCGATAGTGAGTAGGAGATATAATCACATGTTTAGACACTGAAAGGAATGATGGACAACATAGACATCCGAGATGTTAAAGTTAATTTTAATCTAGCTGTGAATCAAATATGTTCTTGTATGTCAAGCTACCACATAGTAAAGCAAAAATCTTGCTCGTTGAAAGATCGAAGTGTTTTAGCCCCGATCCCGCATATAGTTAAGGGTATATGTTGTTCCGTAGTTCTACAGCATATGTCAAAATATGGTTACAACTAAGTACAAATTGAAAAGTCCTTGCTAATTCCATAACCCAAAAATAGTCAATAATCATTACGAGACAGGATAGTAACTGTCTCAAAACATCTTGATGACGAATTATTGATAAGCCGTTGTAAGCATCGATAAATCCTGCTAAGACTGCGTTAACTGAAACCACAAAACAGACTGAATAAGTTTAGTATGGAAATTTTAATTATCTGCATTATACTCTTAGCAGGATCTCAAAAACAAATTTACTTTTATAAGGATATAAATAGAATGGGATGTGTATCTTAGAAAAAAATCTATGTTCTAACATTATACACTATGAAATGATTATATTCTACACAAAAGTGACTAAAATATCACAATGAGTTGACTCCACATCTAATAATATAATGACTTCAGCTTATGTTCTGACAATTCTAATAAAGATTCCTAGTCATTATGCACTTCAGGACTATTAAAATCTGAGCAATATGTTAGACAATTCTCATTAATAGTAATGGCTAATCTAAGTTAAAAATTGCAAATGACGACGTGTCTTACTACCTGATGATCATGAATGTATTCTAGATTAATAGTTGCAAATTTAAAAGAAAAACCTAACAAAAAGACAATAATCGCATTACCTCAATATTTGAGAGTTCTATCTGGTTGTCTTCGTCTTGTAATTTCAGCAAATGGTTAGTTGTCATTTTTAAATCTCTTAATCGTTCATTAAATGATTGCCATAATTGATAACGTTTAAGCCAATCACTGTGAACGAAAATGTTGATCAAATAAGATTTATATATACATTTTTTATTTTGAAAATGCAGTTGAAGTGTATTCAAGTGTAACATGTTATGAAAACTTACGAGAGTAAGTTTGATACATTAATTATTAGTTTCAATACATACATTTGTAATTGTGGGTCTAACTATTATAGCCCAGTTATATACTATCTAGTACCTTAATTTCCTGATCAAGCTTGCCAACATCACAATTCAGTCGGCTTATATTCGTTAAAATACTTGAACTTCGATGTTGTCTCTTAAAGCACAGGTCAGATGGGAAGGCACAAAAGCGAAAATGATAGACTGATTTACCGAAGTAGAAGTCATACTGTTGAATGTAGTATGATGTAGCGGTAACGAGTTGCTTCCTATTGATAGGATGTATCTATAGCGATGCACAAACTTAAGGAAAGGTTAGTAAAGGTCAGTTTCAAAAACATCACACCTTGGTCTACCCTTCGACTTTGTTGATGCCGGTGATGATGTTTGGAATTAACACATTTAAAAATTAGTCAAGAAAGGGAAGTGTATGACCAGCCTAAAATAATAACTCATTGCTCTTAGTGCCCACATTGTTGAATCGATAATACCATCAATACTAATCAAAATACGTTCGATGATCTCTAGGGAGAATTATCGTTCCACGGCCTAAAATACTACAAAGTATCGATTGCTTCTAGATCACAAACGTCACAAAACAGCATGCAATTAGCTTAAAAAGATGATGCATAATTTTCTTATCGAGCACTCTGTAAACGTTTTTCGTTTTAATATTCCATCAAAATAATTCTTTACAAACCTTTAAAATGTTCGTTCTGCGTATTTATAGAATACTAATTTTTTTTGACTGAAGCAATTCCCTAACACGGCTTGACGTCATGAAAGATGAAATAAATAAACAGAACCGAAAAAAACGGAGACATACAAGAATATAAGATATCACTAAGAATATAAAGTGTTCAATGCTGAAGAGAAAAACTGTTCTAAATCCTGTTCTCAGTTAAGGGTAATATATTTCATTGTTATATATAACTTACTTCTTATTCAATTCAAATTCATTATTGTAGGTATCTAAGCGGTTTTTTTGTGTTGATAGTAAAACTTTCAACCAAACTATTTCATCATTATCTTGCTCAAGAACATTAATATTTTCTGAATTTTCAGAGTGTATTTGATTTGTTTGACTTTTTCGTTTCAATTTTATATAATCGTTAATCTCTTGAAGGATTTTTGCTGAATCCATTAGAGATTTATTACACGTTTGTAATTCACTTTCTAAAGTCTATTTTAAAAGAGGAGCAGAAAAATATCAAGCAGAACAGTTAACAAGTTGTTGTTAAAATAGCTAAGAGTTAATAAATGTATTTGTTATGTACAACTGAAGTTGAAATATTTAAATTACTTTGGAATTCTAACTGAATGATGGTAATTCTCAGTTAGTGGTCCAATTCACTGTTGAGTAACTAAAACAAGTTTACTATCTGATTATTGTATAAATGAGGGATAAGTAAATAGGAGTACTTAATTTCACTGATCGCCTTCTCAAGCTTTTTTTATTTCAAATGAAATTAAATTAGGTCACATCTTTGAATTTCTTAGTTGTGTTATTTACCTCCGTTATATAAGCAAAGAACATTATCTGAGAATGTGAATCTTTTGTTTCGCTTTTTTATTTCTAATTGTCTTTGTGTGCTTCTTTTTGCTAACATGGTCGTGATTAATCGATCCCAAGAAAGTTAAATTTTCGATCGAATGATAAAGGTTTGATGCTAATAAGTCAATAATAAACGTTTGTATGAAAAAGCTGCAAAAACAGACTGACAGATCTATAGACTAACCGCTGTTCTCGATAAATTTTAAAACTTTGCATGGTGATTCGTCACACTATAAGAAGAGCTCAGGTTATCAATCTGGTTAAGAAAATCGCGACAACAGTTTTCTGATTAGTATTCCGTCAATGCCCTTTGTCACTACCTGACTGATCGTTGTCACTTCGAATTTTACAATTTTACTGTGCCATTAAGGTTACTGTATGTTTCCATACATATATATGGAGTTGTTCCACTTCAAGTATAACATCTGAGCTTCGTCGAATGTTAAGCTTTTTCTTTACATCTGACCTCTTCATGAATTTCATCATGTGGATACTTGTTGAAGTTCCATATATGTCAATGACCGTATCCCCGAGTTCATATTGGAAAAAATCCCAGTCGGTTGTAATTTAAAGTTGCTGTAAGTGCAATCATCATCCTTTTCAGCTTAATTACTTTATTTACTCCTATTACCCCTCGTGGAGGAGCATAGGCTGCCCACCAGCATTCTCTATCGACTAACTAAATTTAATGAACAGATACTGATTTTTCTAATCTGACTAGCTTTTAAAAGTGATTATTATACTATTTTGTTTACATATTTGTAAAACTTTATGTTTAGTTACTTTTTATGTTAAAACCAACGAATGTATTGGCGAGATTATAATTTATGGATGAACAATTCAGATGTAGAATAGCAGGTTTCGAATTTTGGCGTGAAATTCATTCATACATTTGACCAAATAGCATTTTAACATTTCAGCTGATGTCAGTTCATGATAAAAAACCTGAATCTTATTTATAAACCTAACTATTAATTGTAAGTCATAATCCTTATTCTTCACATATTTTTATAATCCTTATTTAACTCTAGTAAGTAGGTAAACATCCCCAACTTCACTTTAGCGTCTCTCAAAGGTCATCCATATATTATAGTATCACCACTTCATCTTTCGAAATCTTTACTTGGTCAAAATGCAAGTAATTATCTATTTAGGAGTAATAAAATGTAATTTTGTCTATTCACTTGGTGTTGTTTACCTAACGCAATACCGAGGCAGTCTGCACATGATACGCATATACCAACAAGTCACGAAACGTCAGAAAATCCAATTTTCTACTCATTGGGATATTACAAATATATTATATTTATTTATAACAATCAACCCAATGCTCAATTTATTCGAAATTATCAAATCAAACCTTGGTAATGACACCCATAAACTTTAAGATTCAGGTACACCCAGTTGATAAGTTCCATGTAGGACGAAACGCGCATCCTGCATTCCACTGTTAGCCATTATTATTTTAACTTTTTATACCTGATATGACGAGAAGAAAAGTCAAAATTCAATTGATTTACTTATTATGAGTTTCGTTCAACATTACTTCCCTTCTAATTCATTGTTATGATCATTCAGTGTAGTATTCGGTTTTGTTTTCTTCTACGATATTTTGTTCCGTATAATATACGATATTCTTGTATTCAATTGACATGAACTATGTTCAGTATGTGATTTGTTATAACTCATATATGTGATTTCATCCTAATTATTAATCAAAAATGGGTGTATGAATCAATATATAAATGAATGTATATTTAACTAGAGTGGTCATCGTCATGTTTTGGCGGTTAGTAATTATTTACTTATATTAGTCTTTGTGTTCTTTACTTTTGCGTAGTACGAGATCCTTTGTTCCGAGTATAAGTGATAAACGTTACCGACACAACAATCAGCGACGACCAGATATAACAAGTAGCATTCAAACAACAAGACATATCAATATCAAATTTTCAGATGTAATAACAAGTAAAAATAAAACAAAAAAACAAAATATAAACAATAAAAAATAATTTTAAACAACAACAACAACAACCAAAAAATCATCTTACATCTATATATGCACCAAGTTGTGAAGTTAAACCATCATGGCAACATTTCAAATCATTTTGTATACAATTTAATAAACGATTTGTACATTGTAATTGTTTTTCATATATATTTAATAATTCATCGTTTAATATAATATAATCATCAGTAATAAATTTATTTCTTAAATCAATATAATTCATATCTAAATAATCTTTATATTTTAATCGTTCTTTATCTAAAGTTAATTTCCAATGATAAGTTTGTTCTAATTCTGTTAATAACTTGATACATTGATTATAAATTTCAGTTGTTGGAGTCTTCTGTTAGTAACAAATCATAAAGAGATAATAATAGTATTAATATTAATAGTAATAAGAAAAAAATAACAAATAATTGTCTTTTCATTAAAGAAAATAAATAAACAAACAAACTAGACTAATGAATAATGAATGATATCATGTACTAAAGCGATCGTGAGATTGTTATTAAGAATTTATTATTGTTATTACACTTGTATAGTCTTTTTATAGTTACTTCTCAGTCGTTAATCATAATCTCCGAGTAATTTTTTTTAATATTCTTCTACACATCTGTCAAATGCACAATGATCTTTCATATTATTGATCCGTAAATTATTTCCATCCTACTCGATCATTACGTTATCTCAAATTTCGTGGAGAAATGTAAGTTAGCATCACAAGTGGATTAAAATAGTTATCTAGCTCTCCATTGTATACAATCATTTGTTAGTTTATATTCGGTCATGATAAAAACCTACTTCAGTTTCATTTAAAAAAAGCTTTTATCTAGATGAATTATTTGAAAAATATTTTAATATTTTAATAAAAATAAATATTTCTTACGGTATAATCAATTAATAACTGTTGCGCTGTACTAAGTTGCTCTTCTAGTAGAGTTGCTTTATGAAATTTTTTATCCAATTTTTCATTGGTTTCATACCATAAACTCTTACATTAAAACAAAAAGAAACAAAAAAAATACAGACGTTAAGACAGTTGTGCTAGTATTTAAGTAAGAAGATATTAGACAGTTTAGAGGGTAAAATCAGTCCCTCTTTATATGTTCGGATTATTTAGTAATGTAAAGATACGTTGATTAAATTCAGTAAAAAAAAATAACTGCCTAATCTTTGAAAAGAGGAATTGTGAGTTTCGAATCTTGAAAAAAGTATTCACATATGTAGCTATATATGGATGACCAATCTTCAGTTAGAAGAAAAGCACTCACAAAACATTTTTCACTAATCAAAATAATTCCTCTTAAATCAAATCAAAGAGATATATATTCACGATGTTTATGATCTTCTAAATGTGAGGACTGAGAATATTACCGTATGTTCTAAAAAACGTAGACAGAGTGAAGTTCCAACCTAGGTCTCAGGTCCATGGTTCGTTTAGATTATTAATTTAAATGGTGAAGAAACGAATCCCGACATTCTGATACTCCTCTATGGAGATGTATCATCACTCTTCTGCACACATTATTTATCCTGAAACAAACTAAAGGCGTTATAAAGATTTCACGATTATATTTGAGTCATTAGTATAGTCGACAAAAATTAATTTATCCACATTTATACAAGTAACCTACCTGCAAATTTAACAAATCTTCAAGTCGGTCAGATGAGTTAGTATTTCCACCGGTCACAATTAAATCTCTTAGTCGTGCTTCCAGATATAATCTTTGTTGTGCGAATAACTGTCAAATATTGATGTTAAGCATGTAAAATAGAAAAAATCTCATTATGCATGAAACAGACAAATATTCAACAGCTCTCTATTGGGAGAGTTGATGAAATCTAAACGTTTCTCAGGATAAAAAGGATCAAAAATAACAAATATAAATGATGTAGGTATACATTTCAAACTGGAATTAAACAAAACCACTTTTCTTTGCACCATATTACTCATTAGTAATGAGTACCTAAATGTATATATAATACCTGAAAATAAGACAAATTATTTATGTAAATTTATAAAGCTATAATATGGTATTATGATTGTGATAATTATTTCATTTATCAGCCGTTCTATGCCAGCCCAAACACACAACTACTTAAGCAATAAATAAGTATGCAATGCAACTATACTACTGAAAAGAGTTTTAAGTATTTAAACTAAAAATACCAAATTGCAAAGAAACAGTCATACAGCCAAAATGAATATGTACGTTTATTTATTTATATTTAAAACAAATAAATACTTGTATTATACATACCCCCTTTAGCACATATAGATATATTCGTATACATTTGTAAACATTTAAAGCGAATTTCAAAAACCTGCTCATACACTCATTAGGCAAGCAAACTCTGTTAATTGATCAAATAGTTATATGTCAAGAATTTATTGATAAAGAGGAAAACAAAATAGGGTAGGGAATTTCTGTGGAAAAATTTTGTAACTATAATGAGTTATACAGAAAATTATTATGATGGTTATATACTAGTGATCGAGTGAAAACTGAAATAGTAATGAAAGTCTGCCTATCATATATCAGATAAACCATTAGATTCATATTTTCGTGTTTACTTTAAATAAGATAAAGTACTCTAACATATTCGATAATAAGAGGAACAATAATTTCCATTGAATTTTTTGATGAAAAACTAGTTGCAAAAGGTTTACGCTCAAAAATTCATTCAATAATGATGTTCCTCAAATCAATAATTCATTTATTTTAATTCACAGAATGAATAAAAGTATTTTATGCTAAAATATTGTCTAAAAATATATGTCTAAAATTAGTCACGATTTTGTAGGTTCAATAATATAATCGATAAGTTCCTAAACGTTTTGATGCCTTAAAATTTAAGGAATCAAATATGTAATTACTGGGTCAAAACTTAAAATATTACTAATTAGCTTAGTCTGTTAAATACATTTGAGAGGATTTTAATTCTCTGAGTAATTCCGTCTATAGCCCATCTGGGACTACTACCGGTTCCAAGTCTGGATAAAGCAGGAGGGTTGGACATGGAGTTATCTACCCCATCCCGAAGAAAACTAACTTTCTAAAAAACACTAACCAGAAAAAATTATTCAAACCAATTCTCTGAGTAAATATATTTCGTTTTATACAAATTGTTTTCTCTTTTGTTTGTTAATTTCACTAATTGTCTTACGATGCGGTGTTGTCTTGATTTCTGTACAATCTTACCAATGAAGTTCACTTACTAAGGGAATCATACAGGTAAAATGATGGTTGGCAATTGATTTGAATGGAATATTGAACTAATTATTCAATATCTTCACATTTCAATCCTCCTAAAATTCCGACTTCCTATCAATTTTAGTCAGTTTTTAAATTTAAGCTAACTAAGCAGGGTAATCGAATTTCAGAAATTACGCATCATAGAAATCGTTGAATACATGAAACGGCCACACAACACATAGCTACACACTCAATTACTATAAAAACAAACATAACAAGTATGAACAATTAACTTTTCAATTTACAGTAACTAAGATACTCCAATATTGATTATAATAATTTTTAAATTGAAATCTAATCAAGTAAGAAAAGAAACCCGAAGATGAATTGAAGATAAAAAATATGTCCTGAAAATCACATACAGTAAAAGCGGCTAAAATAAATTAAAATTAAATTCAAACAAACAAGTGACAGAATAGCTACATAATTCTATATATCAGGTAACATAAGCGTAGTCAGATGTTAAAAGAGGAAAAACAAACATTGTTTCCATGTTAAGAAATCCCTTATTGTATCCTTCTGTAACACATACACACATATACATATAGATACTCATAAACACACGCATACTTACAGATTCTGTAAATTTGAAGTAGGTCTAGTTAAAATAAAACGAATTAATTAATGTGCAAATGAAAATGTCACTGTTAAGATTGTTAAATAAAACACAATAAAAATAATAATAATAAGGAATAAGGTAACTGTTAAATTTAGGGATCTAAACAGCCACTAAACTGCATCACTGAGAATTTGAGGTTTCCCATTATAGACAGACATTAGTTAGATAATTATTAGAAATCAGAAATCACTGGTTAATTATTTTGTCCAAATATGCGACTCCTCATCGGGTATAACCAAAGCCCCGCTAGGGATCTTTGTAATTCTTACCAACAGAGAAAAAGATTGCGAAGGATTTAAAAACTTAAACTAATCGATCACAGGTCATTCAGCAAATTGTTACACTTTATAATTTATGATAAAAAATATGTTAAACTCACGTGGTGATTTTTTTGAACAAGTTACGTCTTTGTATATGATCGTTCATTCAGAATAATGTCACTTACATTAAAAAAAAACATCTTTCATTTTGCCGATTAACTTCGGTCAGTTAACCATATGTAGTATAGAATCTAGCACATATGTGCATTAATTCAATTTGTCATGCCATATCTTGACAGCAAAATAAAATTATCAAGACACATTTTCTGAGTTATTTCAGGCGTAGGGATATTTGTAGAAGAATATTTGTAGATAGTCACTTTGTATTGATGCTCTATAACTTATTACATATGCAATGGCAAGTTAGATGACTTCAAGGACTGACAAACAAATCACAAGTTGCGTTAATTGTCAGAGTTATAACCATTATCATTTGTTGAGATTGTGAACCGATCAGTGTAAGACCACTGTTGAAAACCTGGTGGCACTGGACGGTCGTTTCGTCCTAGGATGAAACTCCTCAGCAGTTTGCATCTGCGATCATGCACTTGAGGCTTGAACCAAAGTTCCATGGTCTCGTGTGAACGCCTAATTTCTAGACCACTGGACGTGAAACCAATTGTGTTAATGTACATCTTTAACCAATCCACGGCATTGCGCGGCCATTCTCCGTTGTCTTTGATAAGTGACTTCCTCATACTCGGCACAGTTAAACTCAACTGGACGAAGATTCTCATTAAAACTTCGAGAATTACCTCACGAAGCTATTTGTTAGTAAACACATGTTAATAATATACTGTAGATTGTTTAAACTTAGTCATTAACACCAATATGCACAGGCTTAGTAAACTAGAGGTTGGGTGTTCGCGCGCGAGACGGAGGAATTGTAGTTCTAGTTCCACCTTACGGTATCGTAGATGCACACTGCTGAGATGTCCCGTACTAGAAAGAAATGATTGTCTAGAGCTTCTGAGTTTTTAATTGTGACATAACATTGATCAGTTCATGATTTCAATAACATTCATCAATCTCCACAACCTCATACTGAAAATGTTTTGTTCACATTAGTTGTTTGCCATTGCTCAAGCTAATGGCTATCTAAACTCAATAGGTAAGTGGATAACGCGATAGTATATAAAACGAACGGTACTGAGTTCGAGTCCCTGACTGAACATCAACTAAGGGATGAGTCTTGAATCGGACTAAATTCACGCCCTGGATTTCTCTGCTAGCCGCCATTAATCTAACTTTTTTCTCACCTTGAATACGACTTACATGATGAATAAACATTGAATTTTCTACACCAATATCATGGTGTTTTATTTAATCGATCATTTGGTGTATCGATTTCAAAACGTGTTTTATTATAAGATCAACTTTTGAAATAACTCAACTATACACATAGCAAACGATGAATGATTGACTCGTGACAGGATTGCTCCCCATAATCTCCTTAAATATCTGTCAGAATGTACTGCATTCTTCGATAGATATGTTTTAGAGGATATCATGCCTCTCTTTCTCTCTTGTCAATGAAAGCATTAATGAAATAAATGGTCACATCAATTGAAATATTAAGTGATTAATTTATTTCTTGTAATAAATTTTGAAACAAATTTAATTTGAACTTAAGACTGAAAATCAAGTGAATGATTCAATACAATATGGAGCCAGAACTATTCATGTGAAATAAATTTAAAATAACAAGTATTATGGTTAGATAGGGTATTCTTAAAATGTTTTAGTCTACAGGTAGCGTACATCACAGAATGACTTTCACTAGACAAAAATTTAAAATTACTTGGCACAACCGTAATTGATCGCTTCAAGAATAATTCAACTTGAAGGTTTTTGTTTAATCAAACAAACAAATTGTCATCGAAAATGTATATAATCAAATATATTTTGCTAGAATATTTCAGGATTTCTTCTATAGTATTTTAAACATGATAGTTTAGTTAATAAATCAACTTAGAATATACTACTTCATGTTTCACACTGCCACATTCCCTCATTCTTCAAATTACCTGTAACAAAGTTTTCCTTTCAGAGATTGAAGTTTCAAGAACCATATTGTCTGAACAATACTGATAGTCGTCGTTACATGAATCAGTTTGTGATAAAGACAATTGTCCACTGGTTCCCAAACAATAACAATTAAAATTTATAATTCCATTGAAATGTATCCGTATTTCTCGAGCTAAATTCTGTAATGTTGGTGAAATTTGTGCGTCAGATTTTAAAAGATTATCAATTAAACGATTAATTGATAATAAGTAATCACCGGATGATTTCTTGATCGTTGGATTTGAATAGACATCAGCCTGGAATTTTGAGAGAAAAAAAAGTGTTAACTAAAAACGTATACGACCTAATTTGTAAGTGTCAGTACTGATAAAATAAACTGAGCATTTTGTAAATTGTTAGTAATAAAACTAATGATATTTTGTATGGTCTCCATGATTAGAAAATTAAATGTCTGACGTTCAACAACATAGTGTAAACTACATCTTCAGAGAACTTGTCGAACAGGAGTAGGTTATTGTGACTAAACAACCTAGTGGATAACGATGTGTTGTTTAAAGTAAGAAGTGCTATCATACAGTTTCGATGAAAACCTCAACACGAATGCAGTTATATGTAAACGAAAACCTGGGGGTGAGACGAAACATGTGAAGTAGATACTATGATTATCCGATGTCATATTTTATGAAGATATAAATGTTGATTGATAAAATTTTACTGATTCTAAAAGAATCACACGTAGCGGTACTCCAACCGTGTTTAATGTAAATACATCGAAAGTGTGAGGATTTCTAAAAATAAACTGACTGTAATGCTTTTATACTGCAAATCAGTAGAATCTGAGTAGTAACTAATGTCAGTTCCTTATGACTTCGGGTACTTTCTTATGATGAGTATCAACTATCAGGAAATTTAGACTCACGGCTTTCTATCGATTGACTTCAACTAACTACTAATAGTGGGACCGTTGGAAGTACTTTCAAGAGAGGTGAAAATATTGAAATAACATCAATATTCACGGCACAGTAGTCTGGTCCCTCTGTGATATAAATGTTGTTGCAATCGGCTGATTGACGTCGACCACATAAAACACTAACTACTATACATAAATTTGCATTGAAAAGTTAGACTCCTTAATTCTGTAGACTGATACGTTTCGTTTCCACATTTTTCTGATTATATCACACTGTAGAGTTAGGATCACATCAAATTTATTTCCTTTCCTAAATGGTTTTTCGACTTGAACAATTACACAAACAGTAATCTACATGAAATATCACTGTTGTTACTGTATAACATTGTCTACTTCAGCCAGAACTTGATTCTGTATGTTTATTTTGGGGATTGTAGTACAATAATTGTGGTTTAACTACTGTATAACCTTTAATTGAAATCACTCCAAGTAATTGTTCGTTCAACTATTCTTTATTTCCAACAACTGGTTTGTGCAAAGGTTCTTAGATTCGCACTGGCCACTTTGCGATTTTGTGGTAAGGAGAATTGTGCATATCTAGAACTGGGCGTAGAAGAAGATCCAGTTTATGAACTCTAGGCAGACTGTACAGTTGTGGTGTATATGATGCAGTCGGCTTAATTGGATCATAAATCTCTGTCGTAATTCTTCTCTTTTTCTTTAGATCCTTAAGAGAATTAGCCAATTGCTTTTCTACTTTATTATTGATTTTTTGAAATTTGATTATCCTGTGAGGAGTTTTACATTACTCAAAGTAATCAAATATTAATTGAAAAATTGTAAACTAATTGTTTTGATTAAATCTTATCAAACTAACAGGTTCCTACCATTTATATTTAATGTAAATTGAAACCAGGAACAATATAGGAAAGACACCAAACTGAATATCTGGACCATCGTAAATTTTAGAAAGACAACAGGGTTATACATAACTAAAACACATAAGTAGTTAAGTACTGATAATGTCAATCGAAATGCTTCTTTTGACATCATCCTTCTAATTTTATTTTGATCCAATCAGAGTTTGGGTAATGGTATGAAAATCACAACAAAACTGTTATTAAAATGTTTGTTTGCATATCATCAATACAGTGTTCTACTGTTTGATAACAAAAATAAATAGAACCATCTAACTTTATTAGGACGTTATCTTCGAATAGGATTTTTCCCCTAAATATATATTCTATTTGTTTACAGCGTTTAACCAAAACCCGTAAATTTATGCTTCATACAATGTTCATCGTATTTATAAAAACTTATGATCAGGAGCAGTGGGATAGCGAAGAATAGTTAACCATCTGTCGTAAATGATATAAGAATAAAAAACAAATATTCGATTTTAAGTCGTTCCTTTATGTCTCTAGCCAAGATTTATTTGTGTGAACAATCGGAAGTTTGTTGTTACATGCATGGTGATCTATATTATCTGACCACTGTAGTTAACCGTGAATAATGTAGTGATAATAATCAACGAAATAATCACTAATGCATTGCTTTGTCAAATTTTTTAAAATGATAGTGGGCATTTATACAATTAAGATTAATATGATTTCTGTTAAAACAATCAATTTTATTCAATAGGATAAATCCACTTTTAATATAGAATCAACAATTATAAACATGTAGGTATTTTAAAGACTAATTGACCTCTTACTATAACAATAATTTCTTACCGTAAGTTTATCAATTAATTCAGGTGTATGAATATTGCGTAATTTCAGTTGGTTTATAGAATTTTCTAATAATTCATTACATTTCGTATCTTTTTCTACTTCATCCATTTGTGATTGAAATATTTCTTTAGCCATGATCACTCTATGTAAATGGTCTTCGATTTCATTAAATAATTCAGCAGTTAACTCTGGTTTGTCTTCTGGTGTCAATAACTTCAATTTATTAGCTACTTGTCTAATTTGAGCAACTGTACCATTCTCTTGGCATAAATGTGTTAACTGTAGATAAATTTTCTAAATAGTAAGACGAAAAAAGTGAATGACGAGTTTAACCACTTAATTATTGTTTAATAAATTAGATAGTTTAGATGAAATAATGTTTCTAGTGGATTTTTTTCTGTCTCAGATGAATTCAGTGTTAAATTAATAACATAAAACTACCCTGAAGTATATCAGGTTTCCTTTAATGATCCTAATCTATACTACTTATTGTTAGTCAGTAGCCCGAATATTTAATATTATGAAACGAATGTTTTACTGTGGCGTTAAAACCGATATTTTGATGTACAAAAGGTTGAATATATTTCATAGAATAAAATTATTTGGAAAGAAAACATACATTTTCACTCAGATAATGAAAGCATAGAGATTTATTGATATGTAAATTACACTGATATTTTTCCGTGTTTAAAACGCACTGATGGTAATAGTACTATGAACGATATGCTTAAATGACACCAAAATTTTTCTACAGATGAAGTACATCTCCGATGTCCCCAAATTGTTTAGCATTGACTATAAGCACAACTTGGATCGAACAGATATAATTTACTACTCGAGAACTAGATATTACTGATTTCAGTAATACACCGTTCATAACATATATTTAATAATTACTCAGATAAATCCTTAATAAGTAACAGTTAACTATTCGATTCTGAAAATAAATATTCCATAACTAGAAAAAATCCCGCTGTGGTAATTCCAGCCGGATCGAATTAAGATCACTTTCAAAGAGTCAATCTTTTTTTCTTCCTAGGTGACATAAAGTGTAATTTCTAAATGACATCTAGAGATATACATTTTTATAATATTTTTTCCATTAAATTAATAGTATAGTAATTTGTAACTAAACGAATTGGAAAACAGTCAATTCGGAAAGTCTATTGCTCAACTGTCCACCATTTTAATATTCTAAGAATAAGTTATTTTCCAACACTAAATAAGAATTCAGTGTATTCCAGTTCATTAATTAAAAACTCACGCATTGATTACCATATTTGAGATATTGAGATTGAATCGAGACTAAAGACAAAAGTATGAACGTTGCTGACTAATTTTTGGGTAGAATGAATTACAAATCTCCATCGCTCTTCTAATCTTCACTGATCCTAGAATTTATGTGAAGTTTTGAATTTTAATTCAATTTATACAGTTTGTGTATACAAACACAAAATACATATTTTAAAAAAAAACTTACTTGAATCAAATCTTTTCTTGATACAGGACAATCAGCTGTTTCTAAGTAATCGGTTACTTCTTCAACACTTAACAAATTTTCATTAATTTGTGACATAAGCTGTTCTAATTCTTCAATTAATGGTAAAGCTTTATCTAAACGTTCTAATCCAGATAAAATTTGTAAGACTAATTGATTATGTTTTTCAGATAACATGCTTAAACATTCATTGTTTAATTTTTCATTAGTATATAATGATTCCTCACTATCCATAATATTTAATAAATCAGTTTTTAATTCATTCAATGTTGCAAGCATTGTCTGTAAGTTATAAAATGGAAGCAAATCAAGAAAATATATAATATAGGGGTTGTGTAGATTATTAAGTTTTTGATTGAGATCATGAACCGACTGATGTTAGACAACCTTTGGAAACCTGGAAGCACTGGAGGTCCAAAAATAGGACGAAACGGCCTTCTAGTGCTTCCAGGTTTCCAAAGGCGGTCTAACATCAAACGGTTCATAATCGCAATCAAAAAAATATATATAATGTTCGTAATCATGAAATGTAAATGAACGCTGAATATAATTTATGTAAATTGTAAGTTATTTGGATTTTTTTCTAAAACATGCAAATGAAATCCGAATAAAAAATAACTGATGTCATTGTAGTACATGTAGTAAAATATTTTACAGTAAAATATAATGTCTTTTGCCTGTATAATAAGTTTTGCAACACATTGAGTACAGAATCATGTACTAGATTTCAAGCTGTACCATATATGTGAAAATTAATGCTTCACAAAACAAAGTGAATGGAGCGACTCGAATCCGAGACCCAGTTTTTGAATATACTGTTAATATTAAACGAAGTGATTTTATGGAGAATTGTAGATATTATGAAGGAAGTTCCTATGAAGTATGTGTTTCTGTATACGTATTTACTTACGCCTGTTACCCATCATGGAGGAGAATAGAGCGCCCACTAACATCCTCCATTCAACCTAATCCTGGGCTGTGTATACGTACTGATGAGGAATTTAAGACTAACAAATTAGCTGTTCATTAGTCGGTAAATTTTAGTTACTTTTCACTTAACATCAGTTTGTGATAAAAATTGTTTTCAAAAAATATTGCGAATTATCTATGAAACCAATTTGTCGAGTATTATTGATTATTTAAACAAGCTTTATTACATTCACATAAAGGTATATAATGATCAACATTATCAATTTTAATGTATTAACCTCAATCAAACTAAATGAAGTAATAAACTTACTCGTCCACTACTAACTGCTGCTTTAATATCTTCTGGATCCACAGATATAACATCTAGCCTACAAAGTTTGTTTTCAATTTGTTTTAATTCCATGTTTAATTTATTTAATTTTGACTGATGAACTGAAGGATTTGATAGTTGAGGTAAGATTTTACTCAATGGTTCAACACGTTCCTAAATTCATATCGTATTCATTATATGAAATAGTATTTATTTACAATAACAAAAGAAGATAATGGTTAGTATATATGTTTAATGTATACAAACATTTAATAACAAACAATAAATTAACTTCGAACGTAGACATCAGATCACATATGAAGGTAATGCGGTAAAAATTCATCATAATCTTTCAGTGATTAAAAATTGACTATTATTACATGAATTATTCAAATAAACAGATAAAATTAGGTTGATCTTTAAGGCAAGAAAACTATATTGAAATTTATTGTATAAAGATGAGCGAGTGGACCATAATGATTTGTATCATAAACGAAATCACAAAATATCAACAATTAAATCAGTAATTAAATGTTAGATATAACAAAAGTTGTAATTAAAAATCACAGTCTCATTTTAATCCTGCTTCGATCTGGGCACCTCGGGTAGTATCATAGCCCACACAAAAATCAAGTGACTTGTGTGACGCATATATATTCTGTCCCCCTTTGTACCAATATTTATGTGTTCAAACAAATCAGTAAACAAATGAATATAACTCATTTTAATAAATCAAAATAGACACTGTAATGTTCTGAGTAGATTTTAGATGCATTCCAATGAACTAGTCAGAGGTTTACATTAATAAACTTACTATAATTCCTTAATTCATCTCTGTATATGTAAACATAATTAAGGAATATCTATCTAATTAAAGTTAATATCCATCGAAACAGTTATTTCACTGAAATATGAAATACTTCAACAGATAAAGATTTCCCGGTTTTCAAGATTCTACAAAACTACTTTTGTAAAAGTTTATTAGTTAAATAGTTAGCGTTGAACAAGTTACCTTATTTGTTATTGTTTACCTTATACGTAAATGTCGGGAGTATTTTTCATTAATAACACCATAATATATTTCAGTTTAACTCACAATTTAGTATTTCAGTTGAAATTTACATAGTAAAATACAACTCTTACGGTTCATATTCAATCTTAAGAATAACTGGTAGTGTATAGCAAACGACAAAGCAAAAAATATCATTTTATGGATAAATCTGCAATTATTTCTTCTGTATCAGTCTAGTGCATATATGCATTATGTTTAAAATATAATTGTACGAAATTTTTCATGCTCACTTTAAATTTTTAGCCTGATAATAATTGGTTTAATTTAGTGATAAATTAATTTACTGTCGGATAAAGAGTAAAACTTTTTGCTCAGATGGATGATTATGTTGGAGTTTGATTGTAATTATCAATGTAAACAGCTAGCCTACATCAAGTTATCTGATTACTGGTAACTCATATTGTGATCTGTGCTACTGATGTCGATAGATATAAGTAGGATGTACCACCGAATTTAAGTGGAATACGTAGCGGCAGAAAGTTGAAGAAATCGAAAAGAGAATGAGAACAGAGAGTGATTGGTATGGAAACGAAGGAAAAACAAAGTCTATGACAAGTGATGGATATTCTGCAAATGAAGTATTACTGTACTGTTCTCAGATTTTACCGAGATATTCTGTAATATTGTCTTAAGATAAATTTGGTTGTCCCCCTCACTACAATATTGAGATCATTTCTCAAAGAAATCTATACTCAATTTGGTTTTGAAATTTGTTGCGATTACACGAAACACTATCAACTGAGTAGGTGTGACTAAGGCGACTTTATCTATAACTGATTTGTACAACATCAACTTATAACTGTATCATAAAGTTAAAAAAATCCACATAGACTCATTGCAGTGGGACTAGTCTCGACAAATTCATTTCCCTGATTAAATCTCTGTTAATATTTTTATATTGCAAAACCGTTACATTAAATAAGATAATAGTTTGAATTTTACCTGTAATTGAGCTTTATAACTTTCTAGTCGATTGGTCAAACAATCAGTATATGAATGTAACGAATTATATTCAATCATTTCATCTAGATCTTTGATTAAATTATTTGCACTTTTTATACGTGCTTGCAATTTATCTGTTAATACACTGATGTCACCGGTAGATTGTGTATTGAAAAAGTAGTTATCCAAATCATCTTCAATGTTCAATAAACTAGTCTCAATTTCCATAACACGTTCATCCACTGAACGTAATTGATCAAGTAAACTTTGAAGATAAGCAGTTGTAGAATCAATCTAATGATTAGAAAAAAGGTTTTTAATATTTAAAAAAACTTCAATGATAGATCAATGAATTCACTGTCAAGAACTATCCATATTACTTGTAGCCATTTAGTGACTTTGAAGAATTTCACTAATTTAATTAATCGAGTATTTGAAACATTAATTCTATTGTTGCCTCTTTCCAAGGTCAATAGTATATTTAACTATCTACAAACAGATTGACCTTCAAAGTAAAGTTTCTTAATTAGTTTCCTTGTTTTAGTTTCGTTCGGAGTTCAACTGTAAAATATTAAAGGAATCTAGAAATTATCCAGAAAGTGAACGTAACAGGAAATTACTGTATCTGACTAAATAATCAAAATAGTATATATTGGTGAATGGTGTTGGTTACTTTCTTATGAATCAGTCGATTACTGTGATGTCACTAGAACACAGTTTTCATAACTGATTGATATCTACTTGAAAACTGCTATTAACTAGAGAGAAATTATCAGTTGTTTCATCATTGTTTCAGATTTGCAAACACTTTCAGTCTCTTAAGAGACTGAGAATGGTCTCTATTTTTCAGTGATTATACAGTTGATAATAATCAATGAAAAATTAATCAGCCATGAGCTGGTTTGCTAACCAGTTATAATGTATATCTCAGTGGAAACAGATTTCATAGTGATCAAACACATATAATCCATCCTACTTTCGATTGTCAATATAGGGTCGTAGAGATTGCTAAATGTCATTGAAATCATGAAATGAGAAATGTTAGACCACCACTGAAAACCTGAGAGCACTTAACGGTCGTTTCGTTCAATCGTAGGACGCCTCGACAGTGCCTATTTACGACTTCGCATTCAAGAATCGAACCCAGACTCGCGTACCAACACTTAACTTCTAGACCACTGAACCGGCATCCGAGGATGTTAATGTCTGACTTCAATTAATCCATGATATTGCATGATCATTTGCCATTATCCTTACACACAGTGCTCGGTAATTTGAAAACAATGTTCCAAATTATTGTCAGCCAATTAAAGCATTTAGAAAACGTCTAATGAAATTTGGAAGCCTAACCGCATATTTTTACTTATTTCGACTGATAAAGCAACTAAGTTATTAATACTTTTAGCATTCTCAATTCTAGTCAAATAAGTACCCATATGATTTATATAAATGAAGTAATTTTGAAAGTAAACGTTTCGTCATATTAATTCTTTCCGAATTTATTTGAGATTCGTAAGTCATAGGTTTGTGCAAGTTTAAAAACAGTTAAGAAGTCATGGTCACAGGTATTTGGTGCACCATGCTTAAAATAAAACATCATTCATTCAATCACTTTAATCAGAATAAGTATACCTAATCTTAGTACGTATGATCTTAGTGATTTTGGTAAGTAATGCCTATAATTTTAATATACTAAACACGTGACTCATACATTTTCGAAAAAATAACACGTCTTGATTGACGTGTTCACCTAAACAATGAAACGCTCTTTTCTGCAGCTATTCACTTTTATAAAAAACAAGTCAACAAGAAAGAAAGAACTTCAGCGACAAGAAATATACATAGAAAACATCTTACAAACAACGTACAAATAATTTTCTTAAGAAGTACACTTACTTCAACCTTAACTAAGGTTAGTTCTGTTTTATACATTTCAAGTTCTTTCATTACTGCACTACCCATAACGCATGATTCATGTAATGCATTAGCTAATTTATTTAAGCGCTCTTCATCATCAATTGTGTGTTCTCTTGATAATCTGTCAAGGGACTAGAATGAGAACAAAATAAGGAACAATCGTCTCATAGGGATATATATATCAACATAGGGATTTGTGTAGAGTGTAGCATTTTCACAGTTGAACTCACGAGTTGATCTGAGGCAGACCACCACTGAAAATCTAGAAGCACTGGACGGCCGTTTCGTTTCACACGTGACTCAGCAGTCACACATGCGGGACTTCCAGTCTAACACTCGGACGCTTCACCTCGAGACCACTGAGCCTGAATCCAACAGTGTTAATGCCTGACTTCAATCGATTCAAAATCTTGCGCAAACCTTCATCGATTGTCTGAGGTGGATGACTGTCTCACACCCGATTCAAGTTGGACTCCACTGGTTACAGTCCTTCACTAGAACTTTAGAAATTCATATTGAAGCTAGTCACTAGTGAGCACATGATTATTATCGGTATGAGGATTTGTCGAGACCTATTGGAGTTAGACATTAACACCGTTTGTAACAAAATGTAATATCGAGACACTGCTTGGGATACCCATATGTCAGTAGTGACCGATAAATTACTAGGCAACTCAAAACTTAAATATAAATGTATTAACCAGTGGAGATTTAGATCCAGTATTCAGTACGTGATCGGCAATTAGATCCAGGTACATCCAGCTAGCGAGTTCCAGATAGAACGAAATGAGCATCCATAATTCCACTGCTAGCCGATGTTCAACCTTATATATCATATACTTAGTTTATTATTATCATTGATATTATTTCCACATGATTATTTTTCTTCATTTTCTCTTGTTTTGTTTGTATAAGTTATGGAAACTCTAATCAACAAACAATTATGCAAGATTTTGTAGTAGTTTTCTTAACTAATCTGGTAATCTTACTCTTTTATGTAAGATTATCATCATAGAGTTGGATAATCATATTTAAAATTCTGTTCATACAGTTCCTCATTTGACTTATGATGATAAATCTTATCTATCAATAGAACTTTTAAGATAAACTGGAAAACAGAACAGTGAGTTCAGTAATTAAATGAGTAATAATCATTTTTATTATTGATGATATTGAATAATTAGTTCAACTCATTAATATAACCATACTTTTTAATTATGCTTAAACTTGTTGTATGATGGTTAGATAAATCACTCAGTAACAAAAACCAAGATATATTCAGCGCGATTTTATCCAGTGGTAAACTGAATTTAAATAAGAGTGTTTACACTGATGAACAAATGTCTTGTTCATTTCGATAGAAACATATACAATTATTTTGTGACTGAAAATATCTCATAATCAATGGAAACCAGGATTATTCATGAAATGATTAGTATTTAAACATTCGATCACGTTACACAGGTTCTTCCTTTATTTTTCTTACTGATTAGTATGATTTGTTAAAGCATTCAGCGTTCAAACGAAAAACCATAAGTTTGAACCTCATACAGCCTACTTTAGTTCAAGCACCTGGATAGTATTACAACTCATCTAAACTTAGTAAACTAGAGTTTTCACTACCAATAAATTATATTAAATTAAATTGTCGAAAATACTCAAAAACTACATTATGATTTCTAGTTACTTAAATTATATTTTGTTATCTCTAATTGCTTTTGAATAATTTTCAGTTTAGAAAACAAAAAATAGTTTAAACTTACTTCTAAATCATCAGTTATTTCACTAATTTCTGAATAATTACTATTTTTAACACGTTCATTATTTGTTCTAACAGTTTCAAACCATCGTTTTTCACTATTCAATACAGCTATTTTCAAAACATATTAACAGGAAATAACTCATTATTATAATAATGATGAAAATATTAACAAAGAGATAATTGAGAAATAGGAGATATTTTAAATTTATTACTGTTTATTAAATCTATTGTAGGTTTTACTGAGTGTTCAGCTAAAATTCTATTCATTCTAACATAAACATTATTCAATGTTTTCAAATGTTGATTGAAAGTTATTGTATGTACAATACTATCATTTAAATGGTTACTTGTAATTAATGTGATTGAATCTATCGATGAAATGATGATAACGAGAGAATTGCATTAAATAATATACATGGAACATAGACCTCAATCCTTTGCAAATACTTACTATTGATCATAACCACTAGAATATCAGAAAATAATAAATGACCAATGATTAGAAGAACTATTATCTAATAAATGTATAACTTGTTAAAAAAAGAAACCGGAAGTTACAATAAGAAAAATAACTAGATGGTTTGCAGTGAGTACTTCGAGAACAGAATAAACTATCCAGTTGAATTATTTAGACCATGTAATAGGAAAAAAAATTTTAAACTGATATTAAAAAATTTCTGCTTCATTAGTCAACAGTCTACAATTTCTATACTGAACTAAATCATTTCCCGTAGATACTTTAGCTGTGATACTTCTGATAACAATGTATTGCTACCTAAACTGAAGCTTCTTTTCTATATTTTTCTACAGATATTGATATACCGAGATACAGTGATGGCTAGAATGATTTTCTTCGGTTTATCACATTAGAACTCATCTGTTTACTTTTCCAGTTAGAATATTTACTTCATTGAGATCTGTCCGAAAATTTGATTCGGTTACATTCGGGATGAATCAAAAATGTAACTCGATAATTTAGTTAAATTTTCAAGTGTCCAAATTTAATAATTGATTGATTAAGTGTAAATTATAGATATAATATTGTACTTTTAATATGTTTTTTTGAATCAATGAAAGGAATCAGTGATTGATGAATGAAGAAATCATCATGCGTACTCTTGTATTCTTCTTTACATCAATCCATATCAATCCAGGTAGCATTATGAAAAATAACAAGTAACACATTTCCCATAATTATAACAAATAGTCATATCAGTAACAGTAACAGTGTTTTATTCAAACCCAACAGTTGAACTTTATAAGCAATATGTTGATTGATGAAAAGCCCAACCGTTGTTGCTACCTTGACGTGGTGGTCGGTCTTGCCTATCGTGATGAAGCAACCGAGCAATACTGGCTGAAACAACCGTTCCTCAAGGTAATACCATGTCAGACAGGTCGGTTGAAGAGTTGTAAAACTAAAAGCAACAAACTCAAGGTCCGAAGGCGAAGTCGTATTGCTGATTGTACAGAGGTGTGACAGCAGTAAGGTGTTTCCTTCAGACAACCAGCATGACAGCGGTGCTGCCTTCCCACAAGGAGGGGTGGGGTTAGAAAAGATCGACCCTAAAAATGCACACCTCGCCTTATCCCACGGATATCCGTCTCCGGCGTTAAGGTCTCAACAAGTACGGAGCTAACACAAAAATTACCCATAAAAAGGTCGTGTGTGATCGACCTCAAGCAGTTGTCCCTTGGGCACAGCGGTCACGCTCCCAGGTCACTAAGACCACCTCTAATCCGGTTTCCTTTTCAGGTACCTGCGGAAGAACTCTTCCACGTTGTGGGCAACCGGGAAGTGATAATTGCCCTCATACCTCTATTAGCACTCAAGACCACTGTATTCATAATCAACCTCCGTCTTCACTTCCTATTATTGCTCCTACATCGACTTTCACCTCTAAACTTCCTTTTTGGACTTCCTCCTCAAGTGTCACCATAGCCAACGATTCTAATGCTCAAAACACTGTCACAGGTCTACTGAAACCTCGCTCCACACTACACATTGGAGCCTTCAACGTACGCACCCTATGTCAAATCGGTCAACAGGCTTCCTTGGCCAGGACCCTAAAATCTTGTACCATTGATGTATGCTGTGTCTCCGAAACACGCATACAGGATCTCAGTGTGTTCATTCACTTAACCTCACATCGGCGAAACGGAGAGCCAACGAGATACATCCTCCGTGTATCTGGTGACCCGACGGCCGGCTCTCGTGGACTGGCAGGAGTAGGGATAGCACTAAGCATGAGGGCGGAACAAGCACTGTTAGAGTGGATCCCCGTTAACAGTCGTTTATGTGCTGTTCGGCTAAACGGCTACGTAAGAACTCGGAAGGATAGGGACACACGTCGTTGCCTTCTCTTCGTTTCTGCCTACGCTCCCACCGACTGCAGCTCAGATGAAGTGAAAGATGAATTTTACATAAATCTATCTGAACATCTTCAGAGAGCTAAACGTTCAGACATAGTACTCGTAGCAGGTGACCTTAATGCCCAGATAGGTAGTTTAAACCAAACAGAAAGGCATTTAGGTGGGTATTTTAGTATTCCGGCACAACGAACAGATAATGGTGATCGTCTGCTGCAACTGTGCTCAGACAATAGTTTATTTTTAGTAAACACAAATTTTAAGCATAATGAGAGACATCGTCTAACATGGCGACCCTCTATACCAAACCAACGATGGACTCAAATAGACCATATTGCCATCAGTCATCGTTGGAGAAGGTCGGTACAAGATTGTCGCTCATTCTGGAGTACCTGCTTGGACTCTGACCACGCCCTAATACGGGCACACATCTGCTTGCGCCTTACTGGACTCAGAAAAGCCACACTAAAAAGACCCATTAGATTTGTATTGAGAGACGCGAAAGCCAAACGTAGATTTCAAAAGCAACTGAGGTCACAATTAGGTAGTTCTGAAAACGAGGTTGACCCAGATGTTGCTTGGAAAGCTATACAAACAGCAGTGACATCTATCAGTGATTTGAACCACAGGGTTACAAAGAACCAATGGATTTCCTCAAGGTCTATTGCACTGATGGATTATCGTAAACTCATCTCATCAGGCTCTGAACACGATGAAGAGCGACAACAAATCAGATCTAGGTTAAGAAAAAGTCTAAGAAACGACCGTGAGCAGTGGTGGGCAACGAAGGCAAAAGAGATGGAAAAGATGGCGACTATAGGGAACACAAGACAGCTCTACAGACTAATAAAAGAAACTGGAATTAATAAGTCAAGTGTAAGTCAGACTATTTCGGAAAATGATGACACCCTCATTTGCTCTCAGTCCAGACGTTTAGAACGGTGGGCGGAACATTTCAGAGAACAGTTCAGCTGGCCTTCAGCTACTCTACAACTACCCTCCATTCCCAGACAGTGTGAATGGAACATTGAAGTAGGTTCCCCAACTCTTACTAAAGTTCAAAAGGCTATAGTTAATCTGAAACGAGCAAGGGTAGCTGGTTCAGATGCATTGACTCCAGAGGTCTTTAAGGATGGTGGTCCAATTTTAGCGGTTAGGTTGACTAATATTTTAGCTAAGATCTGGGAGTTAGACGTTATCCCATCTGACTGGTCGCAATCACTTATCGTTCCAATATACAAGAAAGGGTCAAAATCATCCTGTGACAACCACAGAGGGATTAGTTTAACAACCTGGTCGTGGCTGCATCGACCACATATTCACCATTCTTCAGGTTCTAGAACATAGGCATACTTATCGGCGTCCGACAATGGTGGTCTTTCTTGACTTAAAAGTAGCATTTGACTCTGTAGACCGCGAGATTCTGTGGCAGTGTCTGTCATTGAAAGGCGTACATCAGAAGTACATAAACCTTGTGAAGGCTCTTTACTCGAACACTACTAGTCGAGTCAGGGCTTATGGCAAACTGTCATCTACTTTTGCAACCTCAAGTGGTGTCTGTCAAGGCTGTCCACTTTCTTCATTTTTGTTTAACTTCATCATAGACCTAATGATGGAAATAACAGTCTCGTTGACTGAATTCTCGGGTATTGATCTCCTACCAGGAGGTTCACTTATCGACTTAGAATACACAGATGATATAGTCCTGTTTGGTGAAGACGCTGATAAAATGCAGAGTCTTTTGGCAGCACTAAGCAACAATGCCAGAATGTTTGGAATGCGCTTCTCTCCCTCTAAATGCAAGTTGTTGCTTCAGGACTGGCCTGCGTCAACACCTGAACTAAGGATAGGGAGTGACTTAGTCGAACGCATCGACAACTTCACTTATTTTGGAAGTCTGATCAGCCCTAATGGGTTGGTATCGGACGAAATCTCAGCACGGATTCGAAAAGCTCGTTTGGCTTTTGCCAACTTATGTCACCTTTGGCGAAGGTGAGATATCCGTTTATCAATAAAAGGACGAGTATACTGCGCGGCAGTCCGTCCTGTTTTAATTTACGGCAGCGAAACATAGCCTTTAAGAATAGAAGGACACTGGTAAGCTACTAGTATTTGACAACAGATGCCTTAGGAATATTTCTGACGTCTGTTGGGATCACCGGGTAAATAATAGTGAGGTTAAACGAAGGGTATTACGTAATGATGGTAAATCAGTTGATGAGGTTGAATCTTCATCGACTGAGATGGTTGGGCCACGTGTTACGTATACCCGAACACCGATTACCACGACGTGCAATGCTAACCGATGTTGGAGATGGTTGGAAGAAAGTAAGGGGCGGCCAAACCTAAACGTGGCATCATTGCTTGATGTCACTAACTTCTAGTCTGAGCCATGTTCGTAGATGCAGACTACTTGGTTGGGGTCCGCGTGACTTTCGTAACCAATGGTTGGAGACTCTTGGTGACATGGATCAGAATCGATCACAATGGCGTCGGTGTATACACTACCTGTCTTCCCTTAAATTAAGAGATTAAAATTGCTTCATATCTTTCTTTCTACTAACTAATTCTTTCTTCCTATACTATATCCTTATATGCAATCTTTCTCCTATATATTACCACAAATGAAATAACTACTTTTATGAATCAGGTGTTCATCTTGCTGCGCTAGTGAGCTATGGCAACTTGGACCGATGCATATATGTGCCTGGTCCTACGTTGTAGCTGACTGACTGGTTGGTGGAAAGTGCTGTCCAATATACGTTTTGTGTATCTAATGCTATTCATTTAGCAGCATATAGCATATATTAGCGACAAATTCTTCGTAAAAGATATCAAACGCTTTTGAAGATCACATTCCCGAATAACCCACTGTACATTGGTAGATCTCTGAACAATCTGTTTTTACATTGTGACTGAATTTTGTCAACGTTAAGTATTTAGATGATTGTTAACAGTGTCACACTATTTACGATCAAACATTATACAGAGTAATGCTGAATAGATAAGTATGTGTACTTGGAAAAGTATGTTAATATCTTCACAGTATGCCAGTATTTAGTCTCTAATGATTACTTGTTTTACAAAATGGTTATTCAATTTATTCTCGTCGAACAAAATAAGTAAAGATGTAACAAATCACTCCGTGATTCATGAACCCCGATGAAGAAAAATAAACAAGAGAGCATTTATATTAGCGAACGCAAACTGTGTTTTACGAGGGAATAAAACAATTAATTTTTATCAATAATAAACTTACTTTTAAAATCATCTAAATGATAAATTGCCGCCATTAAGCGTTCTCGTTCTGCGGCGACAGCTGATTCTAAATCAGCAAAATGAGCTTTTGTTAGTAAGGCTTCAGTGTCTAAAATAGGTTGACCTGTTATACTGACAGCGCTGCATGTATCTATTGCAGCTAAAATTGGTCGATTCTCAATGATTTTATCACTAATCACCTTGAAAAAAAACCAGGTGAAATAGTAATAAATTCTTTTTCATAAAACAAATGTACTGTCGAAATAAACACAATTAATTCCCAAACTGATGAAGCTAAGTATACTCTAAAATACAAAATGTATTATTTTATATTGATTCTAATTGCTTCAAATGTTTCATGAAGAAATATATTGGATATGTTAAAATTTGTCTGAATAATTTCTGTGTAAAACTCCCGTTGCATTGTTACTATTTTCAGTTATAGATAATGTTCGTTGGCTAACAATTATCAAATGTCTATGAATTCTGTCTGTAAATGAGTTCATTTTACTAAAACGGCTATTGTGTTTTCATCAAGTTAGTAAAATCTTTATCTGCCATCAGTTTTTGTTTTGCTCCTTAAGTTGTACATAAATCGATTCTTGCTGTTTCAAGCTTAGTTTCACAGTTATAAAAATATTATTGAATAATACATGATAATATAAACTAATTTATAAGAACACAGTTTGATGATAAATTCGTTGAAAAGAAATCCCTTCTCTGAACTTCGTGTTTTTAATGTTGAGATGAGAATTATTTTCCAAATAATTTATAGGATCTAATATTAATACTAATGTTAGTGCTACGACTAATAATAATAATAATAATAATAATAATAATGGTGACATAAACTGTATATGAATAACCGAATAATACCTTGATAACATTTTCCAGTTTTTTCAAATCATTTGGATCATTTATGATGGAAAATTGTGATAATTGTTCTTTTGATTGATGCATCCAAACCTCCAACTTTGCAATATCTACTTGTACAGCATTTGATACAGTGGCAATAGTAGAAGGAGTTGTAGTTGGAGACAATATTGTTGAACTACCAGTTGTTGAAAATTCAGTAGTTGATGTAGATAATGGAGTGTTATTATTATTATTAGTTGTACTTGTATTATTGTTTGTAATTAATCGATCAGCTGAATCATTTTTACACGTTACATGGGTATTAATTAAAGTTGTCGCTGATGAAGATAAATTTGATAGTATTGTTGTACCAGGAAATTCTTGATTTCTACTTATCATTGTTGAACTATTGGCTTCAGCTAGTTTAGCTCTTAAATGATCTCGATTTGACTTTGTTAAATTTCTCACTTCATTCCAATCATTGTGTAATGATTGAAGTCGATTAGTGGTAAGCTGTGTTTTTTACACCAAGTTAGAAAAAAAGAGGGGGTTTTCAATTCAGTTATCCAAGTAATATATACGCATTTATTACATTGTTAATTAACTCAAAGGTTATGCACTTAAGTTTCTCAAGGACTAATGTTTATCTTCATCTTTATCAATGAGTCTAGTAAGCAGTCATTTACAGTGAAAAATTGATATTTCTACTTAACCTAATCACTTATATCTGAATAGCTGTATTCTATATGATAGTGACTTAATTCAATCCCAGCTCCTTAATTTTGTCTGATTAGACCATCTCAATTTCTGTTTATCTTATTACTACCTAACCTGTGAATTTGCATAAAAATTTTTGCAATTTAAACTCAAAACATGTTAGTTCTGATAAATTCATAGTTAAGCATAAAGAAATGAAAAGGTATGCAAAATGTGTAATAAGTTACACTCACCACTAGTCATCAAATTTTATGAATCTTACTGGAGTTAAAATGACTTGAAATTATTTACGTGTTATGTCACCGATTAAGATGGGAAGTAATATTGAAGTAAACTAACTATATTAATCACAATAAGAAAGATGTCTGACATGAATCAGCTGATCGTTTTCAAATACACTAAACAATTCACCAAGCTCTCAGCGAAGCACGCTCGAATAATTTACTAGTAAACATGACTTTAACTAACCGAAATTACTATCCGACCTTTATATTTATCTGTACCATTCGACGATAATCGTTGATATGTTTGTAAATAAATGGATGAATAATTGTAAAGTTCATAAGTAACTCCCATTATTTATGCAGGTAATCTATACCAATTTTTTCAGTTTTAAAAAGTTTTCATAAGGAAGTAACGAATTTTCGAAAATCACAAGACAACATTGATGTACCTAGAACACTTAATTTGTCATTATCTGGTAAGATTAACAAATGCACACTATGTAGATTGCATATATATGATCGATTCTATATTGTAAGAAACTTTGATCCTCATTTTTATTTGTCCCGGTATGAATTTGTCATTGATGTCCGGTCACTAGTGAAACGGATGAAAAAATGTGAATGGACATGGGATTTAGCCTCATACGTTGTAATAAATAGACGTCTACTTTTATTCTAGTGAAGATATTCTAAATAGCCCAAACACTCGATTACACTTTCGTTGAACCGAAAATCCATGAACCTTGATATGAGCACAATACGATTCACATATTATACACTTATCATTTGTACTTAAATGAAGTTATCATTTAGCATCACAGATTTTAGAAATATGTCATTTTTAACATGGGTAACTTCACAGAGAACTGCTTCCAACAAGGACTTTGAGAAACTCATTTCAGAGATGATCACGAAGAGATATGAAATTTTTGTTTGATTAATTGGTTATCTAACTACTGAAGATCCATGAAGAAAAAGTCACAATGTATTTTGATATTACAGTATGCTTTTATCGCTAACCTCAAAGAATGTCAATATGTGGAGAGTGAATAACGGTCTTTCACTAAGTCTGCATTTTTACCTGCTAAGCAATTAACATAATAGAACATATCTATCTCCAAAGATTTGTAAAAAAAAACGACGAACAAAAAGGAAATTTTCCTTTTTTTCCAAATTTAACATACTTCAGCATAAGCTGGACTAAAGTACTCCAAAAGTCTGTGAGCAACTTCGTCAACTTTTTGTAAAGTTGGCTTTAATGTTTTCATATCATTTAATGCTTCACAACTTTCCTGTAGTTGGGCTTGAATAACTGGTACTGATGGTAAGTGTGCTCTTGATACTGAATCCAAATAATCTGTCATATCTGCAAGCCATTTTTCGATTCCTTCAAATTGATTCTTGTTGTTCAAAAAATAAAACATAAAATTAGTCGTTATCATTTTGAAATTACGAATAAAACAGTTAACTATTTTAACTTTAATAAGTAGGCACGTTTTTATCAATCTTCATCTAGATGATCCTATCAAGACTCAGCAGCTAAGTCTATAACGTGATGGTTATTTTAGTTTGCGATGCTTTGATTAGATCAAAAGTTTGGGTAGTGAAATGTCTCCGGGATTTAAATTTATTTGAGTCTGGAATTGTATTTTCGTGTACTATTGTCTCTCTTCTCATCGTCCAATGGAGAGCGTGTTTTCAGATAGGTAAAAATTATCGACTTCCAGGCATCAGGATTCCACAAGTTTTATTACCACAGGTATCTTGTTGCGTATGTCTGTATCGGGCAGTGAAACGAAGAATGTTCTGAGAGATTTTTGTTGGTGTTTGTTTTTTCAACTAGAGAATAGTTAGCCAGACAATTCGCAGTTTACTTCATTGTCTGAGCTAGCGATCATCATAAATTAATTCTAGCTGAGGACTGTTTTGTTTATTAATATAGATCCATGTAAACACTTAAATTGTCACTTACTGCATAAATAAATCCCTAACTGTTTATGGTTATCGTACGCATCTAGTTACCAAATAAGATTAATTTGGATTCCACAGATTACTGATTTCCGCCATAATAAAAATTGAACTCGTCTATTACACCGTATATTGAATAGATGAGTAAGTAGGATTCAGTTAACTGATTCAGTGACAATTTTATTGTTGCTAAATACCGTATGATAATCGATTAGTTAAATATGTAGAAAATTCCCTTCATCATGATAAATGTTTTTAGATTCCTAATCAAATAATAAGACTGGTTAAGACGAAACTTGACTGACTTGCAGTTTTACTGTGACTTCTAGCATATATATACTGACATTTCATTAGGAACTTTCGTATAATAAATCCACTAAAATTTAACGATTATGACACCAGAATAAAAGCCCCTTTCTTTCAAAAGTATTCAGTTAGAAATGTAGTACGAAAGTGTCTCGTTGAGTAGTTTTCTCAAACATGAATAATAAATAATATGCTTTACCAATTCCATTTTACTTCAATGGTTTCAAGCAACTTCTCTATACTTCAGTCATGTGATTATAAACACTTAACTTTTTAAAGTCAGCCACGCTAAAACAAAACTACTTTTCAGTTCCTTTTAGTTTTCAATGATTTCCCAGTTAATACAAATAATTGACAAAACCCAGCTCCATCTCTCCGTTTTCTTAATCAGTTTGATATCTTTGGTGAATCAATTTAGAATGCATTATTAGATATTCCCCAGTTTAAGTTATTTTACTGGAAAGGTGAGCAAAAAGAAAATAAGATATCTGGGAGGCTATTTCTAAGGGAATTAATGTTTACTTACCTGTGCATCTATTAAAATTTCGTTCATTTGACCATTAACTGCTATGATAACTTAAGCCTTTCACAAATTACAGCTAAACAACCATAAACCCATTACTCAGCTTTATATTGCAAATCTCCTAGCTATATATACTCAACAAGATTTATTAGTCGTGAGTTATTGTTTTACAATTTATGCGAATGCTCATGAGAGTATTAGTATGAATATGATAAAAATACAGAATTTAGTTAGCTGATAATTCTGGCCTTCTGAATGTTTCAGAAATGGATGGATGTTTAGTTGAGGAAGCAGTCATTTTTACAATTATTGAACTTAGAGTTTTTGGTATAATGTTGATTACCGCCTTTCATTAATAACTTTATTAGAGTTTATCCTCAACATATTCATTAATCGTACGCCATCCTGAGAAGACAATCCGAAGATTGATGGAATAAAAAAATTCCCTCAGGGATTTTGAAATTCATTTCTTCAAGATTTCTGTCGACGTATCTCCTCTAGATTTCATATTCATAAATACAGTTTTATTTTGAACTATCAGTGATTTTATAGGATGTAGTCTAGACGTTAAGTTTCTATCTATGAACTTCTGATTTGGGCTACATCGATGTGCATTGACCAGAGTTGTTTGAAAATAAGTAATTACTTTTTGATGAAGTGTTGAGTCTTTAACGAAGTATTAGTTTGTATAACGTTATTTGGGATTTATTTTACTTGAAAACTGGCGAATACCTGCTAAACCAACTACCTATCAGCTAATTCATTTATCTCTTTTACATGTGAAAGAATTAGTATTTACTACTTGAAATTTTAAAAAAAGATTGTCTCCTTCACTTACCAAAAATAATTCATGTTGCTCTGATAAATCTTGTAGAAAATCAATTCGCGTATTTAAATTTGCACAAACAGTTTTATATTGTTCACGTAAATCTTTTAATGTTTCATTCCATTTGACAGATGAAGATGGTGAGGATGAGGATAATTCCAGATGATTTGCTGAATTTATTTCCCAATTAGCAAGAAATTCGCTTGTAGCTTCAAAATCCTTAACCATTTTCTGTAAATGAATAAAATATCAATAAACAGATAATATTTATGAACGACCGTTGACCTGCACTAAAATAACCTTGAGCGTGTTGACCAGGTTTAAATTAAATTTTTATATTAGTGTAAAGAATAAAGATTATGATTTACAATTGACGGTTAGGGTTAGGAATTAGATTTAATGTTTTCATCACGAACTGACATCAGCTATAATGCCAAAATGGTATTCAGACAAATGAGTGAATGAATTTCGCACTAAAATCCAAGACCTGCTCTCTTGAATGTGTTTAGTTCATCCTTAAATTATAGTCCCACCCTCTTTAACTACCAAGATGATGGGTCACAATCAACTAATTTTAATCATTACAGAATAATAATTGCTTTACAGTTTTATTCATTAATTCTAAATAAAAATAGATTAATTGAGGAGCATTTTCAAGTATTCTATCATATTCATTATGTATAGGTATGTCATACAATAATCATTGATTTGTTTCGAAGTAAAAATAAGTATTGATGATGAAATGTCGGACTAAACTGAGAAGATCACATGATATATCAAGGTCACATAGTAAATGATTATTATGTGATGGTTATAGCGCTAGCCAAATTCACCATTTATACATTAATCTCAATCTATCAACTCATAAATAGTTATGAGTAGTAAACACTAATTTAGCATTTTTGAGAACAATTATTTGTATCTTCTTATGCCACTGTGAACTGATTAAAATTTCTTTCAAGAAAGGTCCGTAAAAAGCTTAGTAAACATTCACTGAGCTTTTTCTTACAGTTATCATCTAGTTATGATTGTAATTTTCATTATGGTTACACTTCCTAAACTAGTTTTACGAAACAAACTACCAGCAAGAGAGTCTATAATCAAATTTACTGTTTTCTTTTAGTTCAGTCAATAGATAAATAATACAACTGTACGAAGTGAATAATAATTGGCTTCTTTATGACCTTTATTTTCGTCGATATCTAATTTCGATCAATTCTTGATACTGAGTAAATATATTTTAATGCTGTTGGTGATCAGTTGTCTCAAATACTACCTGCTAGAACTTCACTGATCAAAGCTTCGTAATATAACCTTGTGGATTACCATTTTTAATTAGTCACTATTTGACATATGATCACTATTAATATAAGGGAATGATAAGTAAGTAGTTAGGCAGTTGATAAGTTGTTATATCATGGTTTGATTTAACTTGAAATTATATTTAACGGTTGATCAAATACACCTAGTGGTTAAACTCATTTGGGTTTAATCCATGACAGGATAGTCTGTTTGGTCTGTTGAATAGTCGCAAAATCTAGAATAAAAACACTGTCCAAAGTGCCCCGATTTCCAATTATTATTTAAACAGAGTTAGTCCATAATAAAAATAATCCTCGTAAATCGATCGCTATAATTTAATAGTACTTCTGATTAATAGTAATGCCATAACGAAAAAAGTGACATATAACAATAGGAGAAAGGATGAACTTTGCTGTAAACATACATTTAAAGTGGCAAGTTGTTCATCAGCATCTTCAGGATGACCAATGGTAATTGGTTGAGAAATGACATCTTTCACTTGAACAATTAGTAATTTAATATCTTCAAATCTTTCATTAATATCTAAGAAAAGGAAAATAGAGATATTTCTTTTAAACCAACAGAAGTAAGTTTAGTAGTAATAGTATACAAATTCTCCATAAAATTAAGAATTTCTTATTTAAATAAGTCAGTACATAACTGAATGTAAACAGGTACACTTCAACAAATAATACTGATATGATTGAGTTGTGTGAGAAAACTGATCAACACTGTTAGTACATTACGAAAATGTTAGAACTTTTAAATAACTCTAAAGATAAGCTTATCACTAATGTTGTTGTATATTTACATGTTCGAAAGCCATAGAATTGTTTTATCACAAACTTCCAATCAATCAACCAAAACGTCGAACGACAAGTGCTTGCAAATCATTTGTAATTTTGATTAACATTTCATATTATCAAATAAATATATAACAATAGTTCGAATCATGAGTCAATCGAAGCCAGACTTGTGTTCGAATCTCACGGGGGGTAAGATCGTGGATGCACACTTCTAAAGAGTCCCATGCTAGGACGAAACTGCCGTCCAGTGTTTCCAGGTTTTCCACGGGATCTAGATTCAATTGACTCCTGATTTCAACTATTGAAATTAATAAAATCTTCACAAAACCCCTACAAATATATAGCAATTTATAAATGTATATAAGACATTTGCAATACAATATATTTGTCATTTTAGAACGATAATCAATGAAGTTCAGTCTCTTTGATAAATTTTGATTATGTAATAAGAGAACAATGTGCAATACACCATCTAGAAATTAATTACACAGGAAGCCTAAACTTTGAACAACATGCCTCCTCTATTATTTTTAAATCTAGGCGGTTAACTGGTTTCGTAACGAATACTTTCTTCACAACAGAGGCTACGCTTACCCTCTATAAAATATGTGTACGACCTTCCCTTAAATACTGCTCTTTTATCTTCTCTAACATGAAGACCACAGACAAGATAAGAGTAGAAGGTGTTCAAAGACGCATCATATGCCAACTGCTAGGGAGTGACTCCACTCTTCATTACACAGATAGATGTAAGCACCTTACTTAAGAACCTTTGTGGCACCGTAGGTTAAGGAACGATCTAATATTTCTTTACAAAGCAATCAATTGACTCTCATTTCCAACCTCCTGCTCAACTATGATCCATGAACTAGCCTATAGACTAAGAAACAACATATATATAGCACGATGCACTCTAAACAATCTAATTACACAAATACTTGTTAAAAACATTTATAGATAAAACAACAAAACAAAAGATCAGCGAAACAAATGGAAGGTAAGAGGAACTTTAAGCCTACCCTAGTACTATTGTTGCTTAAAATGTATAGAGCTAATATATCATATAATTCTGATAGTCTTCGTCCTCTTAGTACACTATCCAAATATTTAATAATTCAGAAGCTGTGCAAATAAATCATACATTCAATATGATTATTAGAGCTTAATTTATATGCCTCTTAACCAATGTTTGAAAGACAGTTAAAACCTCTAAACTGAATTTTCTACTTTACATAACTTTAAGTTTACATTCTATTGCTTTGATTATATTTGTTATGAAATTGAAGGCAGACTAATGTAAATCGGTTATATGAACAGGGGTTTGTCAATTTAATTGGTTCTGTGGAGTTGAGTAAGCACACTAATTACTAAACCTTAAAGATAAATATTAAAACAATCAGATTTATCTTCACCTAACTGTGAAGATGGATACATAATACAAGTAGACAGTGACTACTTGATAAGATTATTTGAAAATTCTATTAATGAACTGTAATTAATCAATTAGTTACGTTTTAAAATCTTTTTTCTTTAGTTTAAATTCCATCTAGATGTTCATTATTAAACAGATTAATATTCAAATAACCTTTGGTGAATACATAAATATAGATACACATCTATTATGAACTTTCCAAACTATAATGATTACAATCAAATTTATGTTATCACAATCATTAGATGTTTTATAATAATTTAAACTTACAATCCAAAATTTTTGGCTTAACATCGTAAACTTGACATCATAGACTTTTTTTAGATATCATACATATTTTTATAATTGGAACGGACAAAAAAAACGAAAGATTACAATATGAGTTGCTAATGTTCCTTCTGGTACTTTCACATAGAAAACACTTCATTTGGATCATTTCATTAAACTGATTCCTATTGTTTAAATGATCAATAACTGACTTTTTGCGTGGGCATATATATATATGTGTGCACGTATAGCTGCATGCAAACGTCGATTCTATATAGCTAACATAACTCAAATGTTTTCTACAATGATCATATAATTACTTTACGAAAATATTCAATCAGGATAACTAACTGAATGGTTAAATCTACTGCATTCTATAGGCTGTGTATTCAGTACTTATTTAGGTCATGTCAAACATTATTTAAAGCGGATAAAGAACATTTGTGAACAGTTCCATTAACATTATTATTATACTTAGTTTATTGATTACTTGTAAAACGTCAATGTACTAATTTTATCTTTGTTTAAATGATTAAAAGTTAGTGAGATGAACACATAATAATAATAATAAATGTGATCAAGTGATTCGAAATTGGTGATATTTTACCATGAATTAACAGTCACATAAACAAAGTTAGACAATTAAACAGTAATGGAAAATTGTTTCGTCGTAGTGGGGTGCATCTTAGTAGTTTGTGTTCTAACAGCCTTACATGGGGTAGAACATAGAATCATCACTTTGTGATCATAAGATCAATAGGTCGGAATTCATCAGTTCACACTTGCGACTTCAATGAATGAGTAAATATGAATTAATACACTTTAGAGATGTTACAGACACCTAAGTAGTACAAGGCCATAACTTCACCTTGGCTCGACCGTATGAAATAGGAAAATAAACTGATGAATTATTGATATAATATGCTTGAAGAATAGATTGAAGAATCAAATTATTATATTCATTTCATCTAGTAGTGTACCCGAAAGTAGTGACAACAGTGATAATGCTAACTTTTTAATTCAATAACAAATAAAATGTTTTTTTATTTACAAAATATTCTCTGTAGTCATCTCAACTGACGATCATAATTTTCTATTTTGATAGTAAGTGATATATGCTTCAAGAAAGTTTAGTATCATGGTTAACTTTCCTGCAGTCGTACTTAGTCATAAGAAATGTAGAACTTCGCTAGTTGTACATCGATCTCAGCTCCCATAGCATATTTAAAAAGGAGGATCAAATTATTAAGATGTAAAAGAAAGTCATATTAATGATTGTAAACATAATTGAGGATAGAGAACATAATCCGTAACGGAATTAATTTGCCATATAAAACTTAAAAGATAATCTTAAAACTTAGGACCGAAGGAAAGACGTAAATTGAGAAAATCTGCGACGATGTAACGGTTTCTGGAAAATTTCATCCAAGGTTTCTAACCATTGATCACTACAACTGAATGAACTCAAACCTGATAAACGAAATCTGCCAACATGGTTTAGACTAACGGTTATTAAATTCGTGGACTTCCTTATCCATTCTTAGCAATGTAACAGTTAGTGCTCTTATAGTGCCCTCATCCTTACACGAGGTTGTAGATGTTCAAGTCCGCTGAACTCTTCTATTACTCATTTGGCAGATGGATAGCGTTATTTTATTCCATGATGCTTTGCTTATACCTTTATGTATGTGTACCATCATGCTTATACAAAGAAGTATGGACAAGTGATTGTATGTGACAGCCTATGCACTTATTTCTCTTCTCGCTTAAATCATATGATGACTTACTCTCATGACCATAGATACTGTCAAACCACCTTTTTTCATTTGTCACATTGTGTGTTTGGTGTAAAATATGTTAAATACAAACTATTTACACAATTTCGGTTCACCTTCTATAAACCGTACATCGTTGAGAGTTATAGTGATAACATATTTCAAGTTGACTAATATACGAAGTATGGGGATAGCCTAGAATGTATTTTGCAACACCCTGATATTTTGTCTTCCATAATGCAAGTGTAATCAAATTGATCATTAACTGAATAAACGACTACAAATTTATGAATATGGAAGTAAACGCTTTTTAGACGCTAACATATACATCAACATTTTATTCTTTTATTTAAACCTATTTTTATTTAATACAGTCAATAAATTCTATTCTGTCATTTTTAATCAGTTCAATGTGTTCTTAAAATCATTAATAAAACTGCAGTGATAGTATTGAATAAAAAAATTAATTGAATTATAGTTTTTTTATTAGTAAAATAATTAAACAATCAACGTTCAACAGATCAAATAATGTAAACACAGTATAGAAAGTAATATTTTTTCAAAATGATTGAAACCGTTGAAATTATTTAGTGGTATGTACTGATCATTTATTTCAGAGACAATTTTTCGTTCACATTATGACTTTTTATTAAATTAGTTTAACAATGGTATTTTATATTCAATAGTTTGTGAAATTAGATAATTAATTAAGTAACATAATAAAATATATTATCAGTTTAAGGTTATGAAAATTGTTGAGTTTTAATTGAGATAATGAACTGATCAATGTTAGACTGTCATTGAATAACCTAGAAGGTGGTCGTATAATATACTGGATTGAGTGAAGTTAAACATTACTACAGTTGGATACTGGTTCACTGGTTTAGAGGTTAAGTGTTCGCGTGCAAGATCGAAGGTCCTGAGTTCTGGTCCTGCGGGCGGGATAGCAAGTTCACACTTCTGAGGAGTTCCATACTAGGAGAAAACACCCATTTGGTGCTTCCTGGTTTTTAATTGTCCAACATTGATCGGTCCATGATCTCAAATAAATTATATTATTATGATAGACTATAGGATCAAATTTTTATATTCTTTGGTAAAAATTGTCAAGAAAGTATTCTTAGCCTTATGTAAACCGTAATGATCAAAAAATGTAAGCCACTTCCGTATATACAAAAAAATCTGTGTGAAAAGTAATTCTTCTATATTTTATCACTTCTCTCTAATATTGTCAGTTATCTATTTGGATTTATTTGATCTCTTATCTAATTGACCTTAAGTTTTATATGCGATTATGCTGATAATTATATTCAGATTTATACCTTAAGGATGGAAAACCGAAATTCTTTTTAATCTTTCTCTAGCAAGCTTCTGTACATATCTGATTTTCTCTTGAATATATCAATTGAAGGTATTGACACCGATTTTTCTGGTGACAGATTCTACAGATTGATCAGATCGCAATCAGATTATTGAAAAAGTATTGTTCAAATAAATCACATTTTTCAGATCAACTTTGCTTTGGTATTCATTTTCGATATTTATAAAATGGGATCTGTTATTTTTAAGAAAAAAATATCCTCATTACTTATATGCAAAGATTTATGAATTATACGATGTTTATATTTGTCGTGGTTTTATCACAGAACTGAGTAGTCTGTTGATCTTCAGCTTTTCTAATTAAAAAGTTCAGAAGTATGAATTTTGGATGTCTTATCAACCATTAGTATAGAAGACATATTACTAGTAAATGAAGCTTTTCACTGAGACTTGTCCACTGTTTATTCATATATACATACATAACAGTATAAATAAAGAAATCCGAACGAATAGTAATGATTAGTGTTACAATTATAGAACGTCGAAGTTTCGAGAAATATAAACATGGATACACATACACAAAGTAAGACATGCATATCTATGATAAAAATAATGATTCAGCCTTTTACATACTTGCAATATCAATCTCTGATTCATTACCGGATTGAGACTTCATTTCGTTAGTAAATAATTTAGATTCTGGAATTTCTTTTAAATCTTCTTCATTTTTCAATTTTAATAATTCATCTTCTTTTGATCGAGTTAGTAATGCGTGTATTTTAGCTGCCTCCTGTTGAAATTCAACACTTTGATTGGAAATTCTCATTTGACGATTTGCTTCGATGAGTAATTTATCAAGATATGTCCACCTTTCTTCGATCTCATCAAATAGTTGATCGAGTTCTTCAATATTTTCGCCGGCTATTATTTTAAGTAAATACATAATAAATCAGTATACTCAGTCAATAAACATAGTGTATATCTAGACGAAATATATCAATTAAGTTGTACATAATATGTAATTGACTAACTTAACTACCTTACATCAATCTTCTATTACGGACAAAACATACTTTCATTTGTAGAGGTTTTTATCTTCCTGACGTTGGTTTTAAGGACTGTACCTGATTGTTCTGTTTAATCGTACGTGGTAGGACTGCATCAACATTGCTTTATAATCACAAAATTAAATAAAAATGAATGGTGGCTAGCAATCGAAATCAGGATATTTGCAACACATAAAATAGACGTGACTTCATTTCAGTGTTGATGTTCATAGAATGATTCGAATTCAGTATCGTTCGCTTCACATGCTCAACGTGTTAGCCAGTGAGCTACTGATCTCAGCGAAAGGTACTAGGCTTGAGTCCCTGTGTGAACATCATCACTGGGATACCAGCACATTCAGATGACAAGCCATAAATAGGATAAAACGTACGTTCTGGATTGCACTATTAATTACCATCCAATTTTACTAAAAGTGTAGTTTGTGGGAGAAAGAATCATGAAACTATCTATTTATATATCTTAGTATTGAAAGTAGAATGAATTTTGTTGAACTACATAAACACCGAATAATACTCGAATAAAACTATAGACTTGACAGAATTAAAAAATCCAATGCTCTGAATCACACCAACTAGATGAAAAATGAATAAGATTTGCGCATAAAAACAAAACCACATTAAACAAAGTGTTAACATTTGACTCTTTTAATTAAAGCCAATACTATAATAATGTGATGATATTATTTGCTTTGGGGTACGTTGATTTGTTTTTAAAAGTTCAAATAACTGAATAATTAATTCAAAACAATGTTTAGCAAATCCCCAAAGTACTCCAAATCTTTGCGTCTTGTAGAACAATCATATGGTTATATTAAAAAAATATAAATAACCATTACAATCATCGTTATTATTACCTTGTGATAATTCATCGCGATATTGCTCTCCTAGGAGTAGGATACGTTGTTTTATATGCCGCCAGTCTTCAAGTTCCTTGGTTACACGATCAATCACTCTGATCGCATCATCGTCACCATCATCAACATCGACACCATCATTTTTTTCAGAATGAGGTGATATAATATGTCGACCTAAAACTTGAGTTTGTCCACTGGCTTCAAGTGCACGACGTTTATCCATTGTGATTAATTCTAAAATCTCTGCACTATTATCCAACCAGTTTAATAGTTCTTCAGCTTTGGACTCAAATTCCGCACGATAACCTGTTATTTTTGAATAAAAAATTTGATTTGAATTGTTTTTAGCATCCTAACACTAACCGTAATCAAAAACTTTAAACACTTAAACAATACTACATAAATTGGAGATTTCTACTAGTGAGTTAACAGTTCCATAGCTAATTGATTTATTGTCTAGAAATTATGATCACAATAATAAAACTTCCAGGACAACGTACTTCTAATTAAATTACCTGAAATTTCATTTTAAATTGATAACCTGTACAGTCACTCAGTTCAAGAGTAAAGCACATTCTTACTGATAGATTGCAATGACAGTCCCCATTTTAAACAAATTGATTATACGTACGCTTGAATTGTTAAGTGGTGTCATACTTACTACGCAACTTACAGACTCTAAGCTCAGATTTGTGTAATATCATGATAAATGATCACAAATTATGATGACAAAGAAGCTGTTTAAGTCCTTTTCTGTCTCTATAGACAGTCCTCCAAATGACATAAACTTTTTGTGATGAAAACTATCTTGAAACTGACTGATTCAGTGTATTTGATATATGACTAGTGGTAAAATCCAGGACACAGGTTTTATTTTATTCTTAATTCGTCAGCTGTATGTGCCTGAATCTTAGTCTTGAAACACACTGAAACTTAAACTCTATACCTCTGACTTTAACCACACAACATGTTATCCCTTGAGCTACTGATATTTCAGACAACTAGTTAACAATAGAGACTGATCAATTGCGGTCCTGATTATTAACAATAAGAAAATATAAATCCTTAACTAATTTCTTTTGATTTAGTTTAGGGTATTTGAATACATATATTTTCGAAAGTTTTAAAATGTAATCGCTTTTAAAAAATGATGAAAAGACATATTCCCATAAAAGAAATTTTAAAAAAACATTTATTTCTAACACCGTGAATATTAAAATTATGGAAACTAATCTACATCCAGTAACAAGAATTTTAAAATAATGACTAGATATTATTACTGGATCTTTTCAAATATCAAAATTATTTAATCAGTCAATTTGTTGATTTATTATAGAACTTTAAGCATTTTACTTAATCAGAGATTATCAGTATGAGATTGTAAAGAATGTTGCGTTTTTGACTGAGATCATGAAGTGATCAATGTCAGACCACCATTAAAACATAGAAGCACTGGACGACTGTTTCGTCCTAGTACAGGACCACTCAGCAGTGAGCGTCCATGATCCTGCACGCACTGTTCGAACCCAGGACTTTCGGTCTCGTGCGCGAACGCTCAACCTCCAGACCACTAAGCCAGCATCAAAGATTATTGATAAGAAAATATTGAATCGTTGTTTATAGTCATTGGAATCAAACTTTGATGTTCAATAATAAGAAGTCGAATTACTCTCTTCTAACTAGTAATACTCATTGTGTGACATCAGACAGTTATTACTTTGAAAGTTAGATAATATAACTATACTTCAATACAATTCCTTTTATTTCAATACAGTAAATCAATGTGAAGATGTCAATCATTCATTTAAATAAAAATATTTTTTTTAAAAACTTGTCAACCAATGAAACACAAATAATTGCCTCATTTGAATTGCATGTGAAAATCATCAAAACATTTATCAACAGTGTATAGATGTTTATTAAGTATGGCTTACCAAACACTTCCAATCGTTTTCTTCACTCAGCAACTGGAAGAATGTTACTTAGTGGAGTGTAATTTTTACTGAAGACTAAATGGCAAAACTATAATTTATTGACGAACCAGTCACATTTAAGAGAACAAGTCTTGGATTTTAGTGCGAAATTCATTCACTCATTTGTCTGAATACCATTTGGCATTATAGCTGATGTCAGTTCGTGATGAAAACATTAAATCTAATTCCTAACCCTAACCATCAATTGTAAATCATAATCCTAATTCCACACACTAATACATAACCCTCATTTAAACCTGGTAAGCAGGTGAACATTTCAAGGTTAATTTAGCTTTGCTCAAAGGTCGTCCATAAATTATAGTCTTACCGATTAAATTTCAATTTATATCTTTTATCAAATTAAAGTGTTTTTTATCAGGCCTGTAAAGCCGTGATACACTCGATGTATTCACAACCAATAGTTGGGGAAAACGTTAGCCTAATTAACTCAGCATGAATTTATAATGTTACGAGCTTTATTTGTGTAGTGTACAAAGGAAATATTCAAAGAATTAAGCTGGTATGTTTTTACAATTTAGCAATGGTATTTATCAATAATCAGTCATTGGATGAGCACTATTTTATATCATATTGGTTAAATAGTGTTAGTTATTAAGAATACATCTCTGCTATATAACAGAACTTTTAACTGTTATTGTAAGTGTAATCATAATAGTTTGAATTTTTATCCAGAATGGTAGCATGCGAAGATTCGTTGTCACGATGAACTGATTTCAGCTGAAATATTTAAGGGAGCAATCAACAACTTTTGCGTCTTTTGTAATTTTGCACTACAGATTAAGTAAAACAACACTTGCAACCATAAGGTGCTAAAGTGCTTTTTTATCATATTAAAAAACTTTTCAGCAGCATGAGCCCACAACTCAACCAGGGACCAATCTCAGGGCCATCAAGACTTGCAGTGGATGGATAATCTAAAGATCACAAGATCGACATCCGATGGTTGCTCAATGGAAATTAATAGTATTTGTCTCACACCTAACGTGATTGAACTTCAGTGGTCATAACTTTTGGTAAGAAACTCGTTAACCATCTCTTGAAATTATCGACCAGTTAGCACATATCAAATTTTTAGCGTAGCGGGTTATGGAGGTTCTTACATATTTTTAATTTTACAGTGTTAACTGACTTTGATCTCCATCTTTATTTGGTGTTTTTATGTATTGCGTTTCGAAAACTCGATCATATCTTTCTGCCAAGATGATACCTTTTTTCGCAGTGTATTGTCACATACCTATGAGTTATATATGGTTCTCCATTTAATGCTAAGCTATAGTGAGGATTATCTTGAGAAGTACATTTCGGTAAGAAATGGTTCAAAAGAAAGTTAACATTTATAGTTGTTTTCAATGAAAAGATTGTTACATTGATTGATAACTGAATGGTAACTAAAGTTATTTTAATCTACACCTTAACGATAATTGAATCCTATCTATGAAGCTAGTGTCTTCACCATTCTAAGGGAATCACATCACTCACACAACGTTTTCATGTCAGTTAACTGAAACGACTTACTATAGTTGTCTGTCTTACTGGATGTCAGTCACGGCACGACTAACTAATGTCTCATACTATGAAATTAAGTGACACTTGTTTGAAACACACAGGAAGTACCAATCTCTTCAAGATTACATGCACGCCTTCCTGATGACTGCTAACTATCATGAAACCTAGGTCCAGGGTTTCCTATCGTCCACAGTACAGTTTTATTTAAATTTGGAGTTAACATATTGTTTTGTTATTTGTTCAACCTCAGAAAGAGGGATATTAGTTTTTGTAAATAATTCAATGTCACAATGCCCTATCCATTTCTACCCTTGTGATCGATAAAGTCAACCACATGAACCCTCATTTCGAGTAAACATAGAAATATTGAAGAATCGGTGAAACAGTGAGTATAAATCAGTTCATAACTCACCAGTTGGCGACGGTGGAGGTTGCATGTCAAAACGCGAAACTTTTGTTGCTTTATGAATCGTGAGATGACCACTTTCTATTGATCGTTTAGCTTCTGACTGTGAATTCTGAAAAGAAAGCACATAAAAAATAATATATAAAAATGCTTATCATTAGTGATAAGACTTTAAACTTTACAAAATCAATATTATTTAGAGTTAATAAACAGTAGACATTACCTCTTGATTTCTTAAAGAGCTATTTGGAATGTTATTCAATAGACCTTTTTTAGTTGTAGATTCAACGTACTTCTCAATATCTGTTATATCTTTCTCTGGCCAATCTTCACAATTGATTTGCGGATCACGTAGTTGACTCCAACGTGATACTAATTGATCGACAATTTTTTCAACTAGACGACTAACACTGTCTGTATCACCACAAGCTTCACGTATAGCTTGTGCACGACGATCTAAGCTGGCGAGTAGTTGTGCCCACCGGGATTCGTGCGGTGATAAACAAGCCTTGAAATAACAGAAAAAAGAAATCAATCAAAGGAGAAACAGTTGAATGTACACGACGTATTTCAAAAAAATAATTATTTATAAATATAATATTACTTTATTGTAACCTAAACTATCAAGTCGGAATGAGATTGGCTTGATGCTTACTTTACAAACTTTCTATTGTCAGGTTAATCAATACCTTTTTGAGCACTTATATTCAGGTATACAAGAACTTACGTTAGTCTTCACATAACATATTATAACCTTATTTTGTGAGTACTTGTTTTATTGTAGTTACTATCAAAGTTTTATTAAGGTTGATTCATAATGAATAATAATTTTTTGGCAAGCAAGTAAGGTCTTTCACCTTTATCAAAAGAATTTGGTCTGGAATTTATATTTAAACTTTTTTGCATATCCAGACATGATCATTCTGAACTAACACTGAGCTAAAAAGATCAATAATACAGTTAACCCACATATTTATTACCTTTCTACTACAGAAGGATGGTTTGTAAAACAACAACAATTCAAGTTTAAGTCAGTTTATTTAGTTCAAGAAAGAATGGTTTTCAGGTGGGTACTAACAATGAGTGAAATGAATGGATTATTTATGTTTGTTCTGGCACCATCTATTCAATTTATTTATTAAAGAAGGTTTAGTCAGAGATTAGGTTTCAAACTGGTGGAAAATATTTGGTTTTATTCACCGGGATACTAAGGTTATTACACAATATTATGTTGTCAGTATATGGATCACAATACATTAATCAATGATGATTGAGAATAGAGTGACAGACCTGAGAGCCATTAAGCTGAAATGTAAAGTTTCAGATGTCCACAGTTGGTGTTGGTCTTTCTGAGTTGAACGGTTCACTTGTAAAATTTTCATTATATGTTTGTGCAATACAATGCACACAAATTAAGAGAAGAGGTATAATATTCGACTATGTCTGTTAGAAAGGACTTAATATATACCTTTGTGATTGAGTTATATTTGTTAGTTGACGACGTTTAATCTATCGATGCTGTAAATTGTATACATCCAATAAATTACTGATTCATTTATGTCAGTATATTTTTATAAATTTTTGATAAGCAGTTGGATCAGTCACGGGTTTATTGTTATTACATAATAAATTCTTCATCCGTAGTTTTTACTTCTACCTTGTGTCGAGTCAACCGGTGTTTTGTCCACTTACAATAGTCCTCATTTATAATTAACACTTAGCTTCAACAGAACCAAAGGCCCTGGGTTGGAACCCCGCGAGCAGGATCGTGGATAGGCATTGTTGAGGAGTCCCATACCAGAACGAAAGGATCGTCCAATGCTTCCAAGTTTTCCATGTCGGTTTAGCTTTAATCGACTTATGAATTCGACTATTAAAATGGTTGGTTTCGTCGACCTTATATTGGTTGACGTTTTCCATGACCTTGTATCTGTAGATTATTTTTCTCATAGGTTGATAAATTGGGTCTATTTCGAGATGAAAAATTATTTTAAAGTCACTTTAAAAACATCTGAAAATTCTTTGTCATTTCTACAATTGTTTACACGAATTAATATGCATAAATATCTTTAGTGATACCTGATAGCTAGTGTTGGGTTTCACAAACAAAGATAATGAAAGCATTCTGATAGAACAATGGGAAAACGGAGTTGATCTGAAGAAATTTTCCATCGAAATGGAGAAGACTAACTGCTCTAAATTCCTGACAATGAAAGTAACCGATTCGTTATAAGTATTTTTCCTAGTATATATTACAACTTATTGGTAAATGATATTTGGTTTGTCCTCAATTTTGATTGGTTTCTTTAGCTAGCAAAATGTGAATTGGAGAAATTTTATGATAATTCAGATTAAACCTGTTTCAATTCCGCTCTTACATAATCAGTAGATATACATAACAATTCTTTTGAATGATTAACAATGGTTTTGTTGATCACTATGTCAAGTTGGGGTATGATAAGGCGGTTAGGATTACCACTTTCATTTGGGCAAACTATATATATTTAATAAAAGAATCAAACATAAGCACAGTTTAACTCAAAAGTAGAGTGTTACAATACTAATTTCACTACGTACGTAGCTTTATACAAAATCATTAAAAGGTTATTCTTATCAGAATGGGTTTTGTGGAGATTTTTAGAAATTTCACAAGTTGAAATCATGAGTCAATTGAAGCTAGACCACAATGGAAAACCTGGAAGCACTGGACGGCCGTTTCGTTCTAGTATGGGACTCCTCAGCATCACGCATCCACGAACCTGCCCCCGCGGTGTTCGAACCCAGCACCTACTGGCTTCGCGCGCGAGCACTTAACCATTAGACCACTGAGCCGGCATCAAACGGTGTTATTGTTTAGCTTCAACCAATCCACGAAGTTGCGCCACCGTACACCATTGTCTTCAGTGAGTTCCTATCTCACAACAGACCTGGTTGAACTCCACTGGTAACGACTTCTCACTAGAACTCCATGGTGGTCTAGCTTCAATTGACTCATGATTTCAACTTGTGAAAAGGTTATTCATTGTTTAATGTATTACTGACATGATGTTTATAACTAAGTCAAATAAATCTAATAGTTTATTTTAAAATAAAAACAACCAATTTCCAACCACTTTATTCAACATGTTTGAGTTTAACATCCGATTGCTTTTATTAAAAAATAAATACAACCCTAAACCTAGGTATACATACATTTCGTAACAGCGATATTTCTTGCTGAAGTGTAGAATGTTAGTTTAAGCAATTCTTATCACTACTAGTTAATATTCAGATTTAAAATCTATCAGAATTAGAACGTTATTTCTTTTTAATGAAGAATTATCAGTTAAATCTTCAATCATGAAGTATGGAGTATCCAAATAATATCCAGGTATATACCCTGATTACGGCACTGCTTATAAAAAAAACTATTCATGAATTGAAATATCCAATCAAAACAGTAATTTCTCAATTATCAGTAATCTGTTTTAACGACAAATGGTAATGTTTGGAGACTTCTAAGAGAGATTCATCAAGAATATACGTCACATAATAGACTAAACAACTGATATGTTACATCATAAAGTTAGCAAACGTTTCTTTCCGTTATCACTGAAGTATAAACATTATTATATTTATAAAATGGATCGTCGCTAGCGGTGGAATTCAGGACGCACTTTTCATACGATTCGGGATTCATCAGTTGGATGTCCATGCACCCTACAGTCAATACTCACTCCAGCATCCGAACGTGATTGTGTTTGAAGCAGATGGTACTTGGTTCGAGTCACGGGATAGAAATCAACTCAGGTATCCAGGTACATCCAACTGATGAATCCCAAATAGGACGAAATGCGTGTTCTGAATTCCATCTTTACTTATAATGCTTGTGATTGAAGGCAATATCGAGGCAATCCACACAGGATATGCATACGCCAATAAGAGACTGATTAATTTCAGTCCTAAACATCAATTGGAAGATTCGAACAACCAATAACAAATGAATTATATTAATTATAATGAGCCTAGTGTTGTAAATTTTTCAAGTTGTTCATATATCACAAAGTGGTTTCAATTGGTTCTCTAGAAAATACCGCATGTGAACAGCATGGTCTTGCCTATTTTTAATAATAGTAGATAAGCCACCAATTTCATAGAATGTTTCCCAGTAAATAAAAATGCCATTTTCAATGAACTCCAGAAACCAAGAAATAGATTATTCTAACATATAAAGGAGCCATCCCAGAAATCACCACGAGGATTTTGTTATATTTAGAAATCAGTGTCTCGCGGAAACCAACGCACTCATATCGTTCTTTTTTATGCATCTCATAAGACGTAACAACAAAATGAGACAAATAAGAAGTCTAAAAAATGAACTGCATCAGACACGAGAAAAATTACGTTACAGAAAATAGACACTTTTTCACCTATGTATTCCTGACCAGGAGCTAGCAGTGAGATAATATATGTTATCACTGACATTAACACACGCAAACAATCCTGAGCATAAATTCGATTAAGAAAACGTCAAAATTCTGGATTTTAAGAATTCTAAGAACACCAAACGGTTTTTAGAAGCGTGAGACTCAAATCAGTCGGAAATGAAAAGACGAATTGATATAAATCAAAATTATGAGACTACATGAAAAACGTCGGTTAATTACATGTCAAAAGGTCAACTGAACAAGACAGCTAGCAAGAATGCAAAGACAAGAATACGAGATTTGCTATGGGAATCAGTCACAAACAAGGCCACTAAAATGAATTGATTTAACGCCTGTAGATTAACTGAAAAGCTCACCTCTATGTGAAGTAGACGATGATGATGCTTTCCATAATGACAATGAAAGTTTCACGATTAAACCATGAAGCTCAAATAATAAAACACTAATAACAAACAAATTAAATTATCATATAACTACTGATATTTCATTTTTTGACGTAGCTTTCTTGCTTTGTTGAGTATGTTAATGAGTTATAGGGATAATTCTTTAGTCATAAAGATAACAATCCTAGGGTATTTTTAGTGATTGAAGGCATATATTTGTCAAGTGAACATTATGAGGTAACTAATAATCTTGTATAAAATAAAAGCGCCTTACGTAAAAGTGTATTAGGAGCCTGAACAGAACTTCAAGCTCTTTTCTTCATTCATTTAATAATACAACAGATATATACGAATTTAGTAATAATTGGTTAAAAATAATCTTATTACTAAGCAAATTAAGTGTACAATATGATAGATTCAAATTCTGAGATGAGGTTTAGTTAATCACCTGTTTAATGACAGAAGCATCTGCTTTTGCCAATTAATGGCAATTATTTAGAAAAAGTACGATATCTTCATTAAAACAGTCGTAAAACCATACTTGATTTTCCTAACATATTCATATCCTGGGTTCGAATCCCGCGGGCGGGATCGTGCATGCACACTGCTGAGTCCCACAATAGGACGAAACGGCCGTCTAGTGCTTTCAGGTTTCCAAAGGTGATCTAACATCAATCGGTTCATGATCTCAATCAATC